AAGAAGATGTGATGTCTTCAGAATCTTTCCTCATCAGTGTATAAAGACCCACCTCATTCTTCTGACTCGTGCATTGCATTCCACCATGAGCTCGTGCTGTGACTTACTTAACCACTAATGGACATTAATAGCCTGTTTCTATTTTTTTGCGAATACAAATAATGCTGTATTAAACATCCTTGAGGGCGCCTGGGTGGCTCAGATGGTTAAGCGTCTGCCTTCGGCTCAGGTCATGATCTCAGGGTCCTGGGATCAAGTCCCGCATCGGGCTCCCTGCTCCTTGGGAGCCTGCTTCTCCCTCTGCCTCTCTCTCTCTCTCTGTCTCTCATGAATAAATAAATTAAATTAAAAAAAAAAACCAAAAAAAAATCCTTGAACATTAATCATCGTGCATACATGGACTATTTCTATAATATAGTATAACTGATCTTCTATAGTGTAAATTGCTGGGAGTGGAATTGCTGGGTCAACGAGTACGTGCATTTTTCATTTTGATAGATTTTGCCAATTTGCTCTATAAAAGGGTTGTACTAGTTTACATTTCCACAAGTCATGTCTGAGTACATGTTCTTTCATACCTTGCCAAGCCTGGGTATTATCTGGATAACATTATTAAGATTCTGCATTTAAAGAAATTGGAGATTCTTACTGAAAGAAGCTTAGTTTTGTCCAATGAACTGAAGAAATATTAACAACACTTAAGGTGGTTTCTTCAACTTTTATGTGCATGGACAATGATGACAAAACCAAAAAAAAAAAAAAAAAAAGTACAGTAAAGGGACATGAAAGCCTTCTGGATGGTTTTGTGTTTTCTTTTCTTCCCGGTAGTCCCGGGAGTCTCACCTGGACTCCCGCAGACTGAGCTGCTCGTTACAGCCGAGTCATCAAACACATAAAGGAGTGCCGGAGGCAGCCCAGCCCACGATGGGACCAGGCTCTGCCATCAGGCTGGTGAGCAGGCTCTCACGGGGGTGTGGGCGATAAGCAGCTCTTTCTCCCCACCATTTACATTTTGAAGCATTCCAAAATGTTGCATGAAATGATTTCCATTTTCAGTCAGACCATTTGTTTTATATATCAGGGTAAAAAATTACTCAAATTATTTACATTCATTTTAGCCTTTTTTTCTCTACCTCTCCCCATTTGTTCTTGGCATTTTAAAACAGCCTTATTTGAGATATAATTAACATACCATGCAACTCACCCGAAGTATATTTACAGAGAGATACAACCATCACCACTGTAACTTCAGAACATTTTCACTACCCGAAAAAGAAATTGTGCCCCTTAACTATTTCCCATCCTCATTCCTCCATCCTCCTCTGCCCTCCCATCCCCTTTTCTTTTCTTCTTTTTTCTTTATTTTTTAGTGAGCTCTATGCCTAATGTGAGGCTTGAACTCACGACCCCGAGATCAAGAGTCGCATGCTCCACCCACTGAACCAGCCAGGTGCCCCCCCATCCCCTTTTAAAAACCTCTCTCCCGGGGCGCCTGGGAGGCTCAGTCAGTTAAGCATCTGCTTTCAGCTCAGGTCATGATCCCAGGGTCCTTGGATGGAGCCCTGCCTGCCGGTCCCCCTGCTTGTGCTCTCTCTCTCTCTCTGACATATAAATAAATAAAAAATCTGTAACAAACAAACAAACAAACCAAAAACAAAACCCAAAAACAACAAATATCTCTCCCAAGATCTTTTTCTGTTCCCCTAATAAGTTTTCTGGCTCTACCCAGACTCATCTTCAGGAAATTCAGAGCTATCAGCCAAACCCAGTGCAGTGTGTGCGGTCCTGGGGAGCACAAGCAAAACACTCCTTAGCTAATTTTTCTCAGCACCCTACTCATAAGAGAACTTGTGCATCTGTGCCTGTTTAGATTAGGAAGAAGTGCATGCTTCCAGTGTGAAGGATGGAGAGACTCTGAAATACATGAACAAAGCAACTAACAGCTGTTGAGCACCCACCAATCACTGACCCTGCTATGGGCACAGCTCCCCACAGTTTGCAAAACACTGTCCGGTTGGGAGTGGCACTAGTCAGTGTCCAGGGAAGTCCCTCTGAGAATGGACATGGCTCTCATGGCTCTTGTAAGGGACACCATTCATGTGTTACTGTGTGAGGTCAGCTAAGAAAGCCTGTCTGGTAGCCATAATTGATTTTAGCAAATTTGGCACACGGATTTTGGCAAGTTAAAATAGCAGCTTCTCTCTAATCTGTGGTTAATGTGCAGGGGTAGGAGTGGAATTGATGAGGAGGGGGTGAATGCAGGGGAGGAAATGATGAGGGGAAGAACACTGGATTCTGATCTCAACTCTGCAGGCTTCTGAGCAAATTCCTCATTTATCTGGATCTTGGGTTCCTGAGACTCAATGATCTCCCAGTACCTTCTAGACTCTTCAAATTCTGAATCAAAACCCCAAGCGTGAACTTGAGAATTTGTATATTTAGAAGCATAGCCTATCACTTTTATTACTGCTTACTTAACAGGTGGTTATATTTTTATTTTGCAAACTTGCTTTGGACTGAGTTTTGTGATGACTGTCATCTTTATTATGAGCATAATTTGGAACTGACCTGGATTTCATGAAGCGCTTCTCCTCCTAATACACTAGATGGCACCAGAGGCAAGGCAAATCAAATTCCCCCAAAAAAGGCGGGGGAGGGAGGGTAGGTTTTGACTACCAAAGTCAAAGTTATTGAATATGGTAAATTCAAAAGGTTTCCGTCTTTATCAAGAATCGTTGTGTCAACATCTTCAGAAAGATGAGCAAACACTGCCAGTGTTAAACATCTTAATATCAGGATAGTCTTTGATTTTGTGTAGCAGCTTTCAAACTGTGACTGTGACCAACTGTAAGATATCTTAGATTGGGACCCAACCCATATACACACATGCTAAAGCAACAGAAGTTCCACGGAGCAATCCTAAGCTTTCTTCCCTGTCACGAATTTTGAGACAATTCTCTTGCATTGAAGGGAAGCCTTGGGGGCATCGGCGGGGGGGTGGAGGGTAAATGACACATTATCTGATGTATTTGATGGTGAGGAAAGTGATGAGGGGCCTTTAGAGGTGTGTTGGTGTTTCAAAATGAGCAATAGGTATACAGAAAAGTAACCAAGCTAAAAAAAAATGAGGCAATTATTCATTCCAAGAAAAATAATGTACAGAAATGGAAAAGTACTTTCTGGTTCAGCAGTGAACATTGTTTACATGGTTACAATAATAGAACGACCGAATACTGGTATCACTGTAAGGGGAGGGGAGGGTGAAAAGTTGGATGGCCGCTTAGTTCTCATCTACCTTAACAGGATGTGACTAGTGAATGCCTAATATTCACGTATCATGGAACACTGATATATTTAGAAACGTGGAGGTAAATATCAGAAGAAACAGCTAAAGTACCTAAGGTTGTTGTGTCTAGGGAGTGGGTGGGGGTGTGGTAGCGGAGTGGGGTAGAGACTATTGTTTTTCTTTAAAAATGTATAGTGCTATTATTCAGCCTTAAAAAAGGAAAAAAAATTGGACACATACTACAACATGGATGAACCTTGATGACATTGTGCCGAGTGAAATTAGCTAGACACCGAAGGTCAAATACTGAATGAGTCCACTTCCATGAGGGACCTAGTAGAGGCCAATTCAGAGAGACGGGAAATAAAATGGGGGTCGCCAGGGCTTGGGGGGTGGGGGGAGGGCATTATTGCTTAATGAATACAGAGTTTTAGTTGGGAGAGATAAAAAAGCTCTGAGGACGGATGGTGGTGATGGTGGCACAAGAGTATAAATGTGCTTGGGCGCCTGGGTGGCTCAGTTGGTTAAGCGACTGCCTTCGGATCCTGGAGTCCGGGGATCGAGTCCTGCATCGAGTCCCGCATCGGGCTCCCTGCTTGGCGGGGAGTCTGCTTCTCCCTCTGACCCTACCCCCTCTCATGTACTCTCTCTCTCATTCTCACTCTCTCAAATAAATAAATAAATCTTAAAAAAAAAAGAGTATAAATGTGCTTAATGCCACTCAACTATACATATAAACAGCTGAAATGCTACATTTTATCTCATGTATGTTTCAGCACGCCAAAAAAGCAATGTAAGAAGAAAAATAATTTATGGTGCTGTTTGAATTTTAAATAGCTGTCCGCCCACTTTAATTTCAGTACATTAATTTTTAGAAAGCTTTGGATGAATGAAAAGTTTTCGTATGTGTCGTGAGCGTGAGTGTTTGCACATAGATTTTATGATACGATTTGGGCCACTCAGGGGCCTTTTTTGCTTTTATCCAGTTCTTACCTGTATTCTTCTTAAAGATGTTAGGTAAGCTATTCTCAAGTCAGGGAGGTATTACTGAAAGTAGGTAATTTATGAATACATTTCAGGGGCATCTGAGATACCAGGTAACTAAATGTAGCACATGAACACTGAATAAATGTACAGATACATCCAGTTTGAATAAGGACATTATTACGCAGGAATTTCCCTTTTCTGGCCTCTGTTACTCTCAGTGGATATTCTGGATGTTTGGCTGTGTAGTCACCTGCTGAATGGCTTACTGGAATTCGTCACCACATCTGTGCTGGGACTAGGTGGGACTCTCGAGTGAAGCGAAGATGTCGTAGCAGGTGAATACCTGTGATGTCAGAGCTGATTTCTAGCTCATGAGTTTCTCTTTACCATCGCTTTCCTTAACCTGGCCCAAATAGGAGTGTATATATCCGCTTCTTTGCAGTTAGGAGCAATAAAATGCCAATTAGCTTGGCCTTAAAAAGTTGACTAGCAAAGCGCCATTCTAATTTAAATCACCGTGCCTTCAGTTTACAATTGAGAAGACAGCTCTAAGAAGAAGACAATGGAAAATAACTTTATATATCCTTAGAGACGTCAAACTGCCTTCCAGCCTTTAAGTCATGCTTCTTGGTTTTGACAGGTTACATTTCCCTTCAACAGTTTATTGCTATAAAAAGAGTGTTCTATCTCATTGTCATCCCATTTAAATTTTCCTTTTTGTTCACAGTGCGAGATGAGGACAGAAGCACGACGAAAAAATCTTCTTGTTTTGATTTTGCATTACTTAACACAAGAAGGGTATGTTACATTACAAATATTTACAGAGATGATTCCTCTCTTTCTCTGACCCCCACTTTTCCAGATACACACTTACCAAAATAGTTCATAGAATTTATTTTTTAGAGCAGTTTTCTATTTATAGAAAAACTGAGCAGAAAGTATAGAGACCTCCCATCTATTGGGAATCCCCCCGCCCCAGCCAGTCTCCCCTGTTATTAACATCTTACATTGGCATGGAACACTTGTCACAACTGGAGAACCAATCTTGATACGTTCTTGTTAGCTGACATCCATAGTTTCCATCAGGGTTTACTCTTGGGCTGTATAATTCCGTGAGCTTTGACAAATGCATAATGTATCCAGCGTTGTAGTATCATATCCAATAGCTTTGCCCTAAAAATCCCTTGTGCTCTGCCTATCCCTGCCCCCATGTTCAGCAACCCAGACACATACTTTTATTGCCTCATTTACATAGATATTATTCCCATTACGCATTTGAAAACTTTAACAAAGCTACCCAGGTCCTGAGATACCTTCCCTTTCCCGTTCAGGTTTCAGGCCTATCAAATGAGATTCCTGGGGTCCCACTGCTGGGTATCTACACAGAAATAATGCTCTTATTCCTCAATTCTCCTTCCCTCAAAATAAAGGTAACGCATTTACCTGATGACCTGTGCTTGACTCTCTTTTCTGGGTAATGCCATCGATAACTGGCAGGGGAGGAAATTGTGAAGCATTTGAATTTGGCCACCTACCTGATTCAGAAGCGTGCAAGCCCTTACAATGAAGGCTGCCAGTGTTCTGGGTTTTGTGAGGAAGAGAGCTCATCCACTATTTACTTTCAAGTTTCCTTTCTTTCCAAGTTTCAGCCAGGAAGAAAATATTCGGGTTTCAGGCTTAGGGCTTGAACTTTCAAGTTAAAGCAGCAGGTCTCAACTGGGGTGATTTTACCCCTTGGAGGACATTTGGCAATGTCAGGAGATGTTTCTGACTGTTACAATGGCACCTAGTGGGGAGAGGGCAGGGATGCTGCTAAACATCCTTCAGTTCACGGGACAGCAACCCACAACAGAGTTATCCAGCCCCAGATATCAACCGTGCCAAGACACTGTATCAGGAGGAACTGTGAAAACAAAAAGACAAACAAAGAAAAGTCAGCATAGTTTATCCCTTCTCCTACAGGGCTTACTGTGTATTTACAAAGCATGCATTTCCCCTTTCTGCCCCAAGATGGCCCCTTGCATCTCGAATTAATGAAAATTCTACTAGAGTTGATCATTTTCCTGAGACCCGCTGGTTAAAGTACTTATGAGTGGATCCTCAAGATGAAAAGTAAACTGTCAGAAAAGTAGACCTACCTTTAACAAAATACTAAGAATTTATTCTCACAAAGAGGATAAATTATAGTGGATTGGAATAAACAAAAAAGCTTTGTAGAGAAGGTGATGTGAGCTGGTCTTGAAAGATGTATAGAATACGGATAGACAGACATGATGGACGAAGATATTCTAGGCAGGTGCGGAGAGAAAAAAAGGAAAGAGAAGAAAGAAAGGAAAGAAAGAAAGAGAAAGAAAGAAAGAAAGAGAAAGAAGAAAGAAAGAAAGAAAGAAAGAAAGAAAGAAAGAAAGAGAAAGAAACGGCACGACCTAAGTGGAACAATTAGGTAAACAGAAAGACCAGAGGTTGACTATCAATTGACACTTACAATGTCTTTAAAATTAGCAAGGTCACTGGAAATAATCATGGCAACCTTGTTTAAGAAAGTTCAAGTTTCCAACTGCCCTGAATCTGGGGCAGGGAAGAGAGCATAATAAAGTTTTCTCCTACTTTCCCAGATTAGAATCAAACAGCAAGAACTCTGTCCTGCAGCAGGAATTCTTAATCTGAGGCCCTTGGATGAAATTGTATGCTAACTTGTGCATATTTGCACACTTTTCAGGAGAGAGTCGTTGGTTTCAATAAGAAGTCAAGAGTTAAGATTAAGACCTGCAAAGTCTTTCCACTTTCAGAGGATTGTGAGACAAAGCATTTGTTTTTATTGCTAAGACCACTTAAGTTGGACAGCCCTCCAACTGAACAGGTTAAAAATCTTTCCCTGGGGAAGATGGTGCTTACACCCACAGTCAGCTGCTAGGGTCATGTGTGACTGAAGAAAAAACTACCAGAAGTAATACATCAAAGCCGATGATGTCTTCTTATACCTCATTTCCCTCAGTGATATTGATCAACATAGATTTGGAATTTCCTTCAGAACTCATGACCTACCCTTTTCAGCTGCAGCAAAATCATGGTGAATCTTGCTTGCCTCTTGGGGTTGAATTTGGATTTATCAATTGCCCGATGTTATCTAAAACGATTGCTGGTGAATAAAGAGGTAATCAAGTTGGGCAAATCTTTAAGCTAAAAATGAGTAAAGGTAAAGCACAAGACATTTTCTTAGTTGATTTACTTATTTGACTTTTAAGCACTTCCAAAAACATTTTGAACCATGATGACATCAGTAGAGTAAGTACGTAGCTTCCTGAGGCAACTGTTTTGAAAAACACTATGTGCATATCCTCACAGTATGTGGGGCTCCTTACTCTATAGGCAAACCTCATGTATTCTAACTGTTATCTAATGTACTACTTAATATGAGCTTACTATTTGTATTGAACATCTTTAGACTTGTCATGCCTCTTTGCCGTTATTCATTTTACCCAGAGTTAATTCTTTTTTTCTTCTTTTTTTTTTTTTCTTTTCTTCATGAAATGGCCAGATATATTGATGCAGCCAATGCTTTGGAGCAAGAAACTAAACTGGGGTTACGACGCTTTGAAGTTTGTGACAACATTGACCTTGAAACTATTTTGATGGAATATGAGAGCTATTATTTTGTGAAATTTCAGAAATACCCCAAAATTGTCAAAAAGGCATCAGACACAGGTACATGGCTATTTTCTAGAAATAAGGTTTTCTCTCATCTTTAAGATTAGTGTTTCTTCCCCATCGTATTCCCAGATAGATGCTACTGCCAGCCTCTACTGAAAGAATAGACTGGAAAGACTGTGTAGCCTCTATTAGGTCCTGTACAGACAATGTAAACGTGATTGTCTGGGCAGTGATGTCCCTATAGCCATGTTGGTATTTGTTCAAGGAATGTATGTTTTAGGACAAGGAAAGCAAGACCCCAGTGTATCACAGTTATTTTTTAGAAGACTAACATTACTTTCATTTCTTTAGAGATGGAAAGAGCTGTTGGAAGAAGATAAATGACAGAAGACTTTTTGTTGTTAGGAAGACCTATTATCTATCTTGAAAATAACATGAAAATGAGTATTGGTGAAGCTAATAGCTCATGTATAGATAATGAAATGCTTTTGAAAGCCATCAATCCAGATAATGATCAATATAATGCAAAGACCCAGTATAGGTTAGCAGTCAAGGAGGCTGGCTGGAGGAAAGATCTAAAGTGAAGGCCCTATGTTTTGTAGTAACACTGACTTAGACGTCTGTAAGTGGGGGAAGTAATTATAAACCAAGGGAGATCATTGTCCTGTTTACAAGGCACTTGTTAAGCCACAGACTTTAACATTTCATGTGGGGACCCGGAAACCAAGAGGAATGTCAATTAAAAATAGCTGGGGCGAATCTCCTAGCTGGAAGGGATATTTTATCTGAGCTCCTTTCCAATGCAACGTTCAGAGCTCCAAGTCCTTGGCTGGTTGTTGGATCTGGGTTTTGGCAGAGAAAGCACTGACGCCTAACCACTGGGCCACCAGGACTATCACTGACACGATCTAATTTCTAGATTGCTGGTTCTGATCTAACTTGGAACCATAGTCTCCTGGGATATTGGACACAATGTGTTTATTTTAAGGTAAACTGGCAGAGTACTGATAAATGTTCATGCAATCGCCCTGGTGTCCCAGAGATCACAAAGCAAAATGGCAAGTTGATGAAAACTTGAAATGGTTCCTGTCACCTGGCCCACACTGACGCCGCCACCAGGTTCATGGTTTCCAACACGTTTCATAGCTGAGGGCTTTGGGGTCCTCCTCTGTGTGGAAATGCTCGGGAAACACGGGCTTCTTTGTCTTTGCTGGTAGTTTCACTTCTTTCTACATGAGAATAGCTTAAAGCTCCTGGATTCCACAAGGCTGTAGCACAAATTTTAAGAACAATGTGAAAGGACAAACATACCTGACAAATCACTTTCTCTTAAAAAATTAAATTCTTTCCCTTTCCTCCCAATATTTGTTTTGCCACAGCGGAAAATAATTTACCACCAAGAAGTGGAGGGAAGACCAGAAGGTAAAATGAATGGTAATTCATCTTGACCAACCCAACTCTAGGAGTTTGTGGGATCCCTTTCCTGAAGATTCTCCATCTCAACTCCATGTTTGTCTACCAGCAATTGCGGACTATGATCATGTGACCTTGGTGGGCCCAACCATGGGTTCTCCTCATGTTACAGATGTCCAGGATATGGGTCACTGTCTGTTGGTTCTCCTGGTTTTATCACAAATAACTGCATTCACTGGTGCCCTTTTGAGGCTCTGTGCTATGAAGAGTACAGACCTTAGAGATGAAAAGGTCCAGGTTCAATTCCTGGCTCTGCTACTCACCAGCTTGGAGCAAGTTTCTGACACAAAGTGAGGTCCCCACATGTAGGGAGCACCCACACATGCTTCATGATAATATTCTTAATAATGCTCTACCTGAGGCTAACTTTGCTTTGTGCTATTCTTTAGGAACAGTTTTATTGTTTTGACCAAAGTGTTATCCTTTTATTTATAGTTTCCATAAAGCTAGTCAGACTCTGACAATGAATGATAACTACTTTTGAACAGAAACAGTGAGGAGCATTTTAAGAGGCCAGCTTCGGCATGCATTTGGATTCTGATTATTTTTCAGCTGCATGCTCATACCTGGAACTTCCCCAGCATTCTTTACCTGGCAGAATGTTCCATGAGTGAATGTCTTCTGAGCACTTTGCTTCTCTTTAGAGATGGAGCTTGGCAGCTTGGGTGTCTTCAGCTCCTCTCTGAGTAAATGTTTGTACGTGGCAAGCATAGAGGTCAGACAGCAAATGGTTGGAGTTAAGAAGGATAATTAGGAAATTAATGAACAGTGTTTGTTTATAATTTTATAATTGAAGATAGCTATTGAAATGAGAGGTTGTGTCATGAGACTTGCTATTAACAAATGAAAGTACCTTCTCCTAATTTGGGCATCTCACACCAGAGAGCAAGCTCCCAGGTTACAGATTTGCAGATGACCCAGTGGAGGAATGGTTATTTAATGAGATGGATAACAGAATTAGGATGCCAAAAAATCTTGACAATTTGGAAGATGGGCTTGAAATAACAAGATGAAATTTAACAAAATAAGGTGTAAGCTTTAACTAAAGATTAAGACAAATAGCTCCCTCATTACAAAATCAGAGACCCAGAAATTTGAGTTAACAACAGATGCAGTGGGAACTCAACAACGTGATGTGATTGCCAATGTGGGTTTCGGGCCACAATAATAGAAATACAGTATCCACAAAATAGGAGGTGACTCTATTGTGGTCAGAAGACAGTGGACAAAGGAAAAATGACCAGGATGAGGATGAATCTGGGAGCCAGGTAACCTTAAAAATGATTGGAGCAGCTAGTGATGTTTAGCTTGAAGAATGGAAGACTTGGGGAGGAGGTGCCCCTAGAACAACATGGTACCAGACTTCACTCTTTAAAGAAGGCTGAGCTTTCTTTGTAGAATTCCATAGGGCATACCTGGGAGTGGCAACTAGAGTTACAGCGGGGTGAATTTGGTTCCATATTCGGAAGAATTTTACAATCGTTAGAGCTGATGGGAAATGAATTGTACTGCTTTGCACTTTAAGCACTTGTCTTTGATAGTGTTAAGGCAAATCTGTGAATCACTTGCCTCTAAAGGGAAATCAAAGAGGGGAAGCAGACTCCCAGTTCCCTGCCAGCTCCGCAATGATGTTAGGCAAGTTTAACTATATATATATGACCTCACTTCATTTAAATCAATGCTACTCATAATAGTTTGCACTTGTAAAATGTTTGGTATTCATTTCATAGATATTTCATTTTTGTGCCAGCAAAAGGCCTGAGGGACAGGCATTTTTATTCCTAATTTACAGGTGAAAAACAAATGCTGTCTACCTCTTATGACACTCACTCCAGTGGGTCAACACTGGGGTCACTGTGTATGGACATTGGTGGTGTTATTGGTGTGGGTGGTCTTGCTGGCCACACACCTATGTGTTTATATTAGACACAAACAACTTTTTCTTTCCCACAAAGAAATGGAGAAATAGCTGCTCTCTGATACCCAGTAGAACATGGGAGAAATGCTTCCAGTGAAACTCTTGCAAACACATCTCACATGTAAGGACAAAGGAACTGAGAAAACCAAACAGCTTCTGATGTGGGAGTTCATGCTATGCCCCTCAAGCAGTCCTGCTTCTCTCTAATGTTATCTCCTATCTAACAACATTCCAATCCTGAATTTTTAGGTCTCATGGACAGGACCTCGTGAACAAATTTATTTTACTTTTGCACTGATGTATATAACATATATATGCAGTCAAACACATATATACACATATATATGCAGTCAAACACATATATACTCTTGTAAGTGCCACCACCCCAGCAACCCCCCAGCAGGCTCCCTTCGCAGCCAATACTCCCCATGGCCACCAGAGGTAGCCACTATCTGACTTCCAGCCCATCAATTTCTTTTGCTTTAAGTGAACAATATTTGGTGAACATTTGTTTTGCAAATATGAAGATCTGTGACAAAAGAGATGAGGTAAGGTTTGCTTCCCTTCCACAAGTCCCCTCTAGGTACACCCAGCACACTGGATCAAAACCACTGGCAAATCCCTAGGCTTTCTCCTTCATCCCCACAACCTGTCCCCTGGCCTGCATACTGTTCTTTAAGGAAGATGAGAAGAAATGTTGGAGAAATGCTTGCAAAGCCATGTGTTCTTGAGAATACAAAGCTATGTGCAGAAGGGCTGGAGACAGGTGGCATGAGGGAAAATGAAGAGGAGGTCAGGGGCCTCCGGGGGGAGGTGGATCCTCTAGCCTAGTCTTGGAGGAACCCAAGGGGTAGACTGGATCAAGTCAGAGCCAAGATGGATGGGGTGGGAGGGCAGTGAAGATAGAAGGGCCCAACTGTGGTATGTCTGCCTATCTTTCTAGAACTCTTTCTTTAAAATGTGCTACACAAGTTGTTTAGTTACCTCAAATTAAGTGGTTAGAATAATTCCCTCCAAGGTCTTTGTTCCCTCCCCTAGGGTGATGAGCGACAGTTGTCAAAATCTTCCCAAGATCAGTCAGCAAAGGCCACGGTCCAGAACCACAGTGGGGAAATCAGGGGATGTCAAATCCCTCCATAAGGAGCATCCTAAACAGGTCTGGACAGCTTTGCTTGGCATTGGTAAAATTGCAGGTGGCTGAGAAATAGCTCCAAGAAAAAAGTCACATTTATTTATTTAAGGACAATGTTTTTAAAATGCTGTGTGATTTTGTTAAATTGTAGATTTTCTTCTGGATTAAAACCACAGGCAAATCTCTAGTCTTCCTAATGTTTTTTAATTTGAGTGGGAGGTCTCCTTCCTCCCCCTAGCCTTTCCTCTGGTCAGAGTGCTGGGTGACAGGCTTTGAGGGGTTAGCCCTGGGCCCAGTCAAAGCAGGGGGCCTGGTTGCTACAATGCTCAGTCATCCCATTTGCGGTAACTGTAGGTGGCAAGCCTTCCTGTCCCAAAGCACATCCCTGGGCTCCTTAGATTAGGCCAGGGATAGTCTCAGGAATGACTGGGTTTCTCCAAAGCACACATGGTTGGTCCCCACTCCGGACCTCCACACTGGACAATCTTGGGGATAGGGTGGACAGCAAGAGGAGAGAGCCCAGCAGGTGGGTGAGATCAATGGCTCCTGACTCAGGGGACCCATACCTGGAACCTCCCTGGGTTGGGACAAACATACCAGGTTTCAGAGGAAAGAGAACCAATTGAAATTGGGAAAAGGAATGGGAAGACTGGATGTCAGAGATGCCCAGTGGGAGAGAAAGGAGTAATCATGAAACTCAATTGTCAGAAGGAATCTCGCACTCTCAAAGAGGTTGTATACCTCTGGCCAGTGTAGTCTGACTCAGGTGGAAGGGAGGTGAAGGTGGGGCAAGAGAATTCCACAGGTGGCTGGTTGACTATTGACTCTGCTCCATCTCCAAACTCAGCCACTCCCAGCATCAAACACCTCTGGTCACAGGAGAAAAGCCAGTGTGGGTTTGGGCTGAGGCACCATGGTTTCCTCCACTGGAAAAGCTCCTTGGAGCCCATGGCTTCCAGCGACAGCTCTTCCCACGTGGCGCAGGCAGCCAGCGAACTCATCTTGTTGGGACTGCACAGAAGTGGCACATGGGGTTCCTATCTACTGAACTGATATCCAGCGTGTGATTTGGGACGATGGAATTGGCAGTTTCTACCGGCCTCTGTAACTTGCTTTCCATGGCTGACTTCCCACTGGCTTCCTCTTTCTTCAGGAGGCTGTCACTAATTCTCACGCGGAGAGTGCTGACTTTGGCTTGAGTATATCAGGAATCAACAAAGGCAGTGGAGAAGAAAATGTCCGCCCACAAAAAGTAAGTGGAATTCATGAACCTAGCACCAAAAGGGGAAATCCCTTTTCTTTCTAAAAATGAAAATTAAAAAATGTTACTGTTGTCAAATAGAAAAGCTAATATAGAATGGTTAGAGCCTGGCTATGAGGTGGGCTGAGAAGAACACTGGGTGAGGATTAGAGCCCTGGGGTTCTGGTCTGAATCTCCTTTCTGGATGAATGGTCTTGAAGGAACTCCCCATCTCTAAGAAGCTCAGTCTCCCTATTTGTAAACTCAGGGGTTTGGAAGAGATGGCTTCTAACGTCACTGTCGGCTTAAACATCCTGTGATTGAAACGGTAAATGCTGGTGTTCTGCGTTATTGAAGGCGTTACGGTGGCGTACTCATCCTTCTCCTCCTCCCTGCCTGTGGTGGTTGACCAGTGGTGGCACCTTGTCTCCCTGGGGCTGTGGTTCTAGGCTTAACTGTCATTTCACGTGAACCATGAAACCCCAGTTCAAATAGGGTGGATCTTGTTCCTAATAGATATCTCTACCCCTTTCATAATGAACCTCGTGTCTTGATTCATAAATAAGAGCTGCTCAAATAGCAAAGACTGATTGGGTAGATGTAGGCAAAAAGCAGGTGAACACATGTCCTTTGGAGATGCGAAGAAGCAGTATCAACATCAACAGCTTTCTCTTGATTATAACTTCAGGGGCTGTATTTCTTGTAAGAGCCACCTCTCTTTCTTTGGGCAAGTTCTCAGACTACAGGACTTCAGATTTACCTCCGGCCGGCTCTTCTTGGGTAAACAAGACTCTGGCTGTGTGTGCTTGGAGGGGAAGCTGGGAGCCTCTCCCTGGAAATGAAGGGAGCTCTCATTGGCCTTAACTGGCTCCTTGGGAGGGCCTCAATTATAGAGGTGATCGCGGGAGATGATGCATTCAGATCAGTGCCTCCCTCGGAGAAATACTTCCCAGTTCACCTCTGCCAATTTCATTGTGTTTTCAGCCACTTTGGCCTAGTAATTTTGTGGCCCTAGTTTCTCCCGTGAACATCTCACATTGATATGAATAGTTGTCTCTGATCAGGTCACAAGGAAGGGACTATTTAACCCAGCACTTAACCTTTGAAGGAGTCTGGTTATAAGTTCTCTTTCCAGCAGAAGTGTCCTCAGGGTTAAAATGTAGATGGCTTTCTTCCTAGCACTACCAATGTTCATAAACTGAACAAGGGTATATGGCCAGGGGCCCATCTCCAAAATGGGTCTATCAATGCCATGTTAGGGCCCCTAGCTTCGGGGTTCCTGAGCCCCCCTACAAATTTAGTAGGCATGGTGTTCTTAAAGGCACTAGTCAGATTGCCTAGGTTCAAAACCCTGCTCAGACTTTCCCAGCTGTGTGATCTTGGGAAAGTTGTTCAATCTTGCCAAGCCTCATTTCTCTTATCTAGAAAATGGAAATAATCAGTGTGTGCTTTAAATATCATGAGCGGAGAGTGTTAGCACAGTGCCTGGCATATAACATGCACTCAGTAAGTGCTGGCGACTGCTGCCATTATTCGTTTTCTGCACGCATCCTTCCTTTTTCCTTCTGCCTGTGGGGAAGTCAAGGGGGCGCTGGGAGGAGTATGGGAGACAGATACCTGGGTTTGAATCCTGGCCTTAAGCCACTTGTTAGATGGGACTCTACTGAGTGGAGAACGTACATGATAGTTAGTAAGCGGGAGCTATCATTACTCTTACGCCAATGAGTTCTTCCTGTGTGGGGGATGTTTCCCAGGACCAGACAACATAGGGGAGGCAGACCTGTAAGCAAGCAGAGGGCATGGTGTCAGAAAAATGCTTGTGAATTTTCATTCAAACCAACTTCATTCTGAAGAGTTTATTTGCAACTTAATTTTTTTTTTCTAGAGTGCCCAACTTGAAGAAATTGTCTCGTTTATGATTAGTGCAGGTTCTTTTTAAAGCCTCACATTACGTTTGCCCTACATACCAGGATACATAAATGTGACTTGACTGACTGAAGCTGAGCAATTAGGGATAGTCTTCCCCCATGTTTTAATGGTGGAAATAACCATTACTCCCTTTCAGGGCCAAATCATTGACTTCCGAGGGCTGCTCACAGATGCCATCAAAGGAGCAACCAGCGAACTTGGCCTGAACAGCTTTGACTGTAACCCCGACCCCTCAGTAAGTGGCTAAGATGTGACATTCATCTTGCAAACTACCAACATCTAGACGAACTTCAGAAATATAATTTTGAGTCCAGAGAAACCTTGAGATCAAATCGAAGGTCACAGCAACCTGCCACCACTTATGTCACCGAGATCCACGCCCCGTTTTGCTTTCTAAATTATGAGCAATATTGTAACGTAAAGCTTTCTGTTCCTATCGTCAGGAACGATTGTTGAAACCTCTGAGTGCATTTATTGGCATGAATAGTGAGATGCGAGAATTGGCAGCCGTGGTGAGCCGGGTAAGATCTGATATTCAATTCACAAATTTACGGAGGTGGATTGGGGCTCCTGGAACATTGTGGGCTGCTTCTTTTATTAATAACAATAAATATGATCATTTATTTATAAAGTGCCCCCACTTGCAAAGGCACTCATATTGTTTAGAGGCACAATAATGCATGATAAATAAATTATAGAATCATAAAATTACAATACAAAAAGCCCACCATCTCACTACAGAGGCCAAGAAAACCAAAAGGGAAAAAGACTTAGAAGGGAAGGGACAGGTGAAAGGTTTTAGAGCAGAGCCAAGAGTTAAGGAAAGAAAGCCTCTTAGAGAAGGAAAGAGCATGCCTGTGTCTTGTTTAAACAGTCAAAGTCTAGAAACAGAGATGTTGGGAGTATGATGATTTCATAATTGGAAATTTCCAAGAAAAACAAGATTAGCAGGAAAGAGCTTATCATCTGGACTACTGGTTTTTAAGCTTACCCTCCAGAATTTATTTAATTTCTTCTTTTTTTAGAAAATTTAAATTCAGTTAGCCAACATATAGTACATCATTACTTTTAGATGTAGAGTTCAGCAATTCATCAGTTGCATATAACACCCAGTGCTCATCACATCACGTGCTCTCCTTACTGCCCGTCACCATTATCCCATCCCCCCACCCACCTCCCTACCCTCCAGAATTTAAAAACAGTGAAGTCTCATGGTTAACGACTGGAATCAGCTCTGGGATCAGTTGAGCTGGATTTGATTTCTACATCCTTCTCTTTCTAGCCATGTGACTTTGAGCAAGTTCCTTGGAAACAGAATAGATTCCTGAGTTATAGGGTACTTATCTGATATCCAGCAATCTCATATTTAATGAAAGACTGAAACCCAAGCAGACTCAGAGAGATGTTTAATATGCTCCAAAAAATGCACAGATATTCTGCAGTAATTAATGGTTCTCTAGCTCTGGCTGTTCAGTTCAGCTGCTGTTACTGCCCCTATTAGGTATCAAGCATGTGCTGGGGGCTAGAAACACAAAGATGAACGAATCAGACACAGACCTTGCCTATAAAAGTCTTTCATCCCATGGGTAAGGTGCACTTGGAGAACATAAAGGAGGGGTATTTTGTGCCAAAGGGTAGGGAAAGCATTAGGAAAGAAGATACACAAGAAACAGGCACACGAAAATGCACAAGAGGAAGGGTGGAGGGTTCTGGACCAAACAACACACCTGGAAATTGTACAGCTTTGAGCTGAATGAGCCACAAGGAGTGGTGGGGAAGGGGGCTGCAGAGAGAGGCCAAGTAAGGGGCACAGTGAGCACTAGCCCAGGGCTGGAAGTGGCCTGTAGGACATGGGAAATCTGAAAGGTGTCCATTGGGAGAATGGGATACTCAAATGTGCTTTTAGTCTGTCCTAATGACAGTGTGGTGGCTGGATATCAAAGAAATGGAGATGAGGAGACCAGCTCCCAAGTTATTACTAGTGAGAGAGGATGAGGTCTGAGCCAGGCTGTGGTAATTAGGATGCAAAGGAGAGCAGAGAAAAAAAAATTTTAATGCCCTTAAAAATCAATAGTCTCATTACTGTTTCTGCAAAAAGACAACATGACTAGCGATGACAGAGTTACAGAGTAGAAGTGGCCTAAAATGATTCCACCCAGCATCTTTTCTACAATACCATGGGAAGTAGTCATCCAGTCTCTGCTTGAATGCTTACAGTGATGGGGAGATCACCACCTCATGACTGATAACTTTTGTTGCTATAAGGAGGAACTTCCTATTGGGAAATTAAACACTGCTCTGTGGAACTCAATGTCAGCTCTAGACGAGGGCAAGAAATACTGCTCTGATCTATGGATGCTTTGAATTCCAGGGTAGATGAATCCCCACTCTGTGCCAAGCTTTTCCTAAGAAAGTGTGGTAATAAGTATGTGAGTGGGTGGTGGGCTATCCTGCAGATCCACAATCTAAATACGGGGCGTTCTCCCAAGATTTTGGAAGACGGAGTCCTTTCTTTTCGCTGTATCAGTGGATCATGCCTATGACGCACCACCAAAATCACTCGTATGAATATTTTCGCTAATAAAAGTGGTCAGTCATGGTGGAGGGGTTGTGGGAGGATGGGGGACAGGGATGGGGATATAACATCTCACCAGCATTGAAAAAACATATTTTTTAAAAAAATTTTTAAATTTTATTTATTCATTTTATTTATTTTTAAAGATTTTTTTTTTTTAAAGATCTTATCTATTTATTTGAGAGAGAGAATGAGATAGAGCATGAGAGGGGGGAGGGCCAGAGGGAGAAGCAGACTCCCCGCTGAGCAGGGAGCCCGATGCGGGACTCGATCCCAGGACTCCAGGATCATGACCTGAGCCGAAGGCAGTTTCTTAACCAACTGAGCCACCCAGGCGCCCTATTTTTAAAGATTTTATTTATTTATTTGACAGAGAGAGAGACAGCGAGAGAGGGAACACAAACAGGGGGAGTGGGAGAGGGAGAAGCAGGCTTCCTGCTGAGCAGGAAAAGAGAAAGCCACCCGATGTGGGGCTCCATCCCAGGACCCTGGGATCAAGACCTGCGCCGAAGGCAGACGCTTAACGACTGAGCCACCCAGGCGCTCCCAAAAACATATTTTTATATTTTGAACGATGTGTATGTATTATTTAAAAATTAGATAAATATAGGGGAACCTGGGTGGCTTAATCAGCTAAGTGTCCAACTCTCGGTTTTGGCTCAGGTCATGATCTCAGGGTCATGAGATTGAGCCCTGCGGTGAGCTCCGCACTCAGCTGGGAGTCTGCTTGAAGATTCTCTCTCTCTGCCCCTCCTTCCATTCAGGTGCACAGACACTCTCAAATAAACAAACAGATCTTTAAAAAAATTAAATGACTATAAAAATAGTTACCAGATTGTTCTGTAGTCACTCAGAATGACTTTTAAAAGGAAGCTTTTTCTGATGTAACACTAGATACTCAGTATGCTTGGAACTGCCCCTACTGAGAAAGGCCCTGAGCGGCTGTTCTGAGGCGTCCTGTGGAATTGAAGTTTGGAAACTGTAAATTAGTTATCAGTAAAAGCTACCTTAATTGATTGCCCCAGATGGCTGCTACAGGGCTCCACTAGGAGAGGGCAAACCGCGCTTTTGCTTGCTTGTTAGCTTCCTTGAATTCTGTAGACGCAATTGCTCCTGATGGAAAGTAGGGAGAGATCACTAGGGAAAAAGAGAAATTGGTTTCAGAGGAGCATTATCTCTTTTAGGCCACAAATTAAGAAAGCGTTTGCGAGATCAAGGAGCAAGCGAGGCCAGGCCCTGGCTGGGAACTCCGTTTTGCAGTAAAAGCCAATGTAATTTGAAGGCATATTCTGTAGCTTCTTTGATTACAGTCATAAATCAGCATGGTTTGCTATTGACTGAAGACAGGTATAGTCCATCGTTAGGAGATTTTGTTTCCTCTTAAAGGTACCATATTATCTCATCAATCTCTTCTTCAGGGAAAATCACGGAATGTGTTCATGGCATCCATTTGGTGAACTAGCCCATAATTACAAGGCGTATATATACATATATCTAATATGGGGAGTTTTTATCACCAGCACTTTATGTTCTATTGTAAGTCAAGTGGTCTTCTGCTCCTGTGTTTATTACAGCTGTGGAGGAAAACATTAGTTTTAACAAAATGATCAAATGTGCATTGCAGGACATTTATCTCCATAATCCAAACATAAAGTGGAATGACATCATTGGACTCGATGCAGCCAAGCAGTTAGTCAAAGAAGCTGTTGTGTACCCTATCAGGGTAAGGATGGGAAGCCTCTTGGGGGTTGTTCCTGTTCATTATCCATGGGACAAACTGTATGTCATGCACCCATCAGGAAGAGAAGGGCAGGCTGTTCTTCTGTCATCGAGTTAACTTTTTGCCTTTGTCACAATACTTGGTTAAACACTGGAGTGCCAAGGCCCTGTCGATTGCAGGCAATTTGAAATCATGTTACATATTGGTTCAAGGCAGGTCTGTTCAAGTGATCATTTAAGATCTAAGACTCTAATGCAGATGACTTGTCAGTTACTATAGATTGGTTCAAATTAGCCTGCCTCCCTAAAAATATACTTATTATAGTAGAAAGGCCTCCTCTAAGAGAGGGCCTCTCACTTTATTTCTATAGATCTTACCCCCCGCCCCATACCCCCATCATCTGAGGTTCTGCTTTTGACTTTTTGTGAAGACTAGACAGCCCCTTCCAGGGCACTGGCCAGTAAAGCCATCATGTTATGCTTACTGCTTTTTCCTGACAAGTCTCTGTGCAGAGCGTTTCATGAAACAGGAAGGAAAATAGGAAAACAAGACGTTCCATGTCGGGTTTATGACTGTGGTGACGAGAAGGTCTGTGTACCACATAGCTTTGGCTGTGTAACAGACCACCCCAAAACGTTGTGCCTTAAAACAACAATCATTTATTTGTGTGCAGTTGTGGCGGTAGGCAGTCTGGCCTAGGCTCAGTGGGGCCAGCTCATCTCTTTTCCACCTGGTACTGGCTGGGCTTACTCACATGTCTGGGGCACCAGCCAGCCTGGCTGGGAAAGCTGCGATAGACAGGACGACTGAGACTTGTCCACGTGCCTCTCATCCTCCAGCAGGCAGGCCCAGTCTTGTTCCTGTGGCGACACACACTTCCCAGACAGAAGTGAGAAAGGGCAGGTCTCAATCCAACAGCATTTTTCATGTCTCTTCTTATAGTCCTTATATTTTCAAGTCTCTTCTTATATTTGCTAATGTCTCAGTGGCCAAGATCACAAGGCCAAGTCCAGATTCAAGGGGTGGAGAAACATACTCTACTGAGAGGCAGAAATATACTCTGCCCCTCGGTGGAAGGAGCTGCAGATAATTTGTGACCATTTTCTGTGGCCTCTCAAAGTCAAGATAACACATTGATTGTATTGAATAGTCTATTGATTCTTACCACTGAGCCCACACATCCCCTGATTTTTGGTTGCTTCTATTCTAATGAGACAAAAATCAATAAATTTGGATGGTCTCCCCCACTTTCTTCCTGTGTTCAGACATGGGGGTAAGGAATATACTGGCATTCAGAATTAGTAGAAGTTTATTCAGCCTTTCCTCTAAGCAGCTCTACAGTACAAGTCTCCTGGGAAAGGACAGACCATCTCATTGAAACTCTGGATATGTTAACTCAGTGGTGTTATAAGCTTTGTATGTTATGGCATCAGCATCAGCAAGAAACCAGTAGCTGGTTACAATTTTACTATTGTTTTTCCTTCTCCCGTGTTCTCCATCAACTCTCCCTACCCTCCAGACTGTCTGAATTTGAACTAATGAGAGAGAATCACTGAAATCCTCGCATGCCCTGTTTGGAGTCCTTGTCTCATAATGCATCCAGCACTGAATGTTCCCAACTTCTAAATCAGGCTTTGCCATAGCTTTGTGCTTTATTAATATACACCTCTGTTGTTGGTTTTAGTGTTTATCTTAAAGGGTATTCCTGGTTCACAACATTCAAAAGATTGCCCTATACATAGAACTCCGGGGGAAATGATGTTATGTATGTAGGAAATAACTACCGGAGCGGGAAAGTACCTGGATATGCCTTTCTTTTCCTTAAAAAAAAAAAAAAACAAAACTGCTCTTTTATTTTATTTTTTATTTTTTTTAAGATTTTATTTATTTATTTGACAGAGAGAGAGCACAAGTAGGCAGAGTGGTAGACAGAGGGAGAAGGAGAAGCAGGCTCCCCGCTAAGCAGGGAGCCCGATGCGGGGCTCGATCCCAGGACCCTAGGATCATGACCTGAGCCGAAGGCAGACACTTAACGACTGAGCCACCCAGGCGCCCCAAAACTGCTCTTTTAAAAAGCCACAAAAATTAAGCCAGGCATGGCTATCAAGTGTGAAAGTAAAACTGGGGTAAATAATGATGTAAACAGAAGCAGCCAGCCTTAAGAAAAGGAAGACTTGACTCTCTGAGTTGTGCCGTGTTTCACTCCAGCTTCCTTCATTTGTCTGTGCTAACCGTGTGCAGGCTGATGTAGTGATGCCAAACCTCATCTTTGTTCCTTGTTTCCACAGTACCCACAGCTGTTTACAGGAATCCTTTCTCCCTGGAAAGGACTGCTGCTGTATGGCCCTCCAGGTAAAGGAATCTTTCTGTTTTGGTCTTGATATCAAGTGTGTGCTGAGGATGAGTTGCCCTATCTGTCCTCATCCGGGCCGGAGGCTGATGAGTGCTGGGTAACCACCTCCTTTTTCACTTGTGAGACTGACTTCTATCTGTAAGCAGGGGGATGGAGTTCAGGTGTCACTCATGTTTTATCCCCATGTGTCTCTAGGTACAGGAAAGACTTTACTAGCCAAAGCTGTGGCCACGGAGTGCAAAACCACCTTCTTTAACATTTCTGCATCTACCATTGTCAGCAAATGGAGAGGGGATTCCGAAAAACTTGTTCGGGTAGGAATTCTTGATTTTGCCTTTTTTAGAATAAGCTCCAGGAGAATACGATGGTACAAAATGATGTTAGAGCTTATTTGTTTTTAAGTGATTTATATGTTAGAATTTACCCTGGATTTTGATTACCGAAAGCCCAGGAGATGGGTTGACTATTATATGTGGATATTAATCCTGTCCCCATCAGCAAAACATGATCTCCTTTCCTTCAGGAATGTGACCAACAGTCCTTTTTTTGATTCCTGTAGCTTAGGAACAGAAGCTGGGACAAAGGTTGTTTATGAAGTGGAATATTTTTTTCTTCATTCAAGAAGCATTTATTATTAAGCATGTGCAGTATATTCAGTTAACATTTATTGAGAAGCTACTACCATATGCTAGTCCCTACACTAGATACTCTCAGAAAGAATCAAGAAATTGAAAACAATTATTTTTTGGGGCGCCTGGGTGGCTCAGTTGGTTAAGCGACTGCCTTCGGCTCAGGTCATGATCCCGGGGTCCTGGGATCGAGTCCCGCATCGGCCTCCCTGCTCTGCGGGGAGCCTGCTTCTCCCTCTCCCACTCCCCCTGCTTGTGTTCCCTCTCTTGCTGTGTCTCTCTCTGTCAAATAAATAAATAAAATCTTTAAAAAAAAAAGAAAACAATTATTTTTTCAGATGCCCTGAGCAACTTTCCTCCACAGTGCCCCATAGCCTTACAGTTTTTTCTGCTCCTTAGGAGAGAAATATAAAATATATTTTATGTAAAATATAATATGAAATTTTACATTATAAAATTTTACTATACTTTCCAGTCACCTTAAGAGAACATCTGTTTATGATTTATACCTCAGTGTAAGGTGGGCCCTTCTCAGAAGTCCTGTTAAATAGTTGAATTCTGTAGAATGACTGGTAAGAAATCAATACTAAGTCAATGTAAATACCATGTATTTTCTGAAAAGAAATTACTCTAAAATATTAGGCTTAAGTTACATTCCCTTGGATGACTCATTCTCAAAATATTATGGCTTACTTGGAAGTCAGAATATTTTTCAGGATTGATTTACTTAAAATGACCTATTATTTATTACTTTGATACTTTTCTCAAGTTACTTCGAATGTGTAAGTTTTTATAAATTCTTATCACCCCTTCAAGACTGTAATTTGTGGAAATCCATGTTGACATCTGTTTCTTTGTTTTTTGAGTCTACCTTAGTATCAGGTCTAAAGGTGGGGTTGGATCTTACCTGTTCCTAAATTTGTGGGTTCTTTTTTTTTCTTGAAGATTGTATTTATTTATTTGAGAGAGAGAGAGAGAGCACATAAGAGGGGGGAGGGTCAGAGGGAGAAGCAGACTCCCTGCCGAGCAGGGAGCCCGATGCGGGACTCGATCCCGGGACTCCAGGATCATGACCTGAGCCGAAGCCAGTCGCTTAACCAACTGAGCCACCCAGGTGCCCCAAATTTGTGGGTTCTATGTGATACTAGTTAGTTTGATTTCAGTTAGCTAAAATCCAACTAACTATAAAATCTTCATCAGCCTGAAGACTTTTTTTTAACATTCCATTTCTATGTGCTGAGGAACAATAAAACTTTTACAAGATGCCCCCAGAATCCGTTTAGATTCATCTCCTGTCACAAAAAGTGGTGTTTACAACTGTGAGCACAAAACACTGCAAGATGCTCAAAGAAAGATTACATTATATTCCCTGGACAGGACTTCCCTAAACAGAAGAATAAATTCAAATATTTTATGAATATTCTTTTTTCTCAAAGATTTTATTCATTTATTTCAGAGAAAGAGAGCACATGCACATGCGCAAGTATGAGCAGTGGGAAAGGCAGAGTGAGAAGCAGACTCCCCACTGAGCAGGGAGCCTAAGGCAGGACTCTGTCCCAGGGTCCTGGGATCATGACTTGAGCCGAAGGCAGATGCTCAACCGACTGAGCCACCCAGGCGCCCCTTTTATGAATATTCTCAATGAATATTGAAACTACTAAAAGAATTGTCTTGTTTAATGTTGGATAGCCAGAAAAGTCATTTAACAAGGACTCTCCATTCTGTGTGAACATTTTATTTAACTAAAGTTTTCCTTTGCTTCAGTATTATTTTGTTAGAATTCTAAGGGTGAGGAAATGATTCCTCCCCTAATTTCTCCCCTTCCTTTCCCAAATATTTTAAAAAAATAACTAGCGTTGGGGTGCCTGGGTGGCTCAGTCAGTTAAGTGGCCGACTCTTGATCTCGGCTCAGGTCATAATCTCGGCTCAGGTCATGATTTCAGGGTCCTGGGATCAAGCCCCACATCAGGCTCTACTCTCAGCAGGGAGTCTGCTTGAGGATTCTCTCTCTCCCTCTCCCCTTCCTCCCACTCACGCTCCCTCTCTTTCTCTCTCTAAAATAAATAAACAAATCTTTTTTTTTTTTTTAAGATTTTATTTATTTATTTGACAGAGAGAGGCACAGCGAGAGAGGAAACACAAGCAGGGGGAGTGGGAGAGGGAGGAGCAGGCTTCCCGCTGAGCAGGGAGCCCAATGTGGGGCTCGATCCCAGGACCCTGAGATCATGACCTGAGCCGAAGGCAGATGCTTAATGACTGAGCCACATAGGCACCCCGATAAACAAATCTTAAAAAAAAAAAAAAACCCTAGTATTTTGGAAAAAAAAAAAGGTACAAAAGGGAATATAGACCCTTGAGCCCTCTCCCTACTACAGTTTGCTAGAGCAGCCTTTCAGGACATTTATCTATATCTATACTAATATCAACAACTTCCATCTATATCTCCCTTCCTTATTAAATACAAGTCGGAACATATGACACATAACCTTGTATACCTTTTGGTTTTTTTCCACACTCAACAATAAAACTTGGCTGTTGTTCCACACTATTATAGACAGAACAGTTCTTTTTATAAGTCTGCAAGGCATTTCATTGCCTGAGTATACCAAAATGTAATTAACCTGTCTTTTCTTAATGGACATTTAGGTTGTTTCTAGTCTCTTGCTATCATGAACAAAGCTACAGTAAACAATCTTACTATATACGTGTCCTTGCATACATAGTAGTGTAGGACAATTTCTTTGAAGTAGAGTTGCTAGGTCAGAGAGAATGAAAAATCACTGATTGCCAAATTACCTGACGACAGCGTTGCACCAGCTTACACACCCATCAATGACATGCACTGCTCATTTGCTTCCCCCACCCTGGCCAACCCTTGCAGTACTTAAATTTAAAAATCTTTGCCAATCTGATAGTGAAAGTAATATTTCAGTGCTCAAATATGCATTTATTTAATTCTGAATGAACTTGAGCATCTTTTTATAGGTTTAGAAGATACTTGTATTTTCTTTTTTTCTGCGAAATGCATTTTTGGTTTTGGATATTTAAAAAAATAATTCAACAGGAAAATAGATAACCTCTGCTAACTTTAAAGGATCTCATCTTCTATCCTTTCAGAAATTATTTTCTGAGCTCTTGGAAAGATCCTCACCTGGAAAATCTTGGTCATGCTGTCAAGATCTTTACTATGGGGCGCCTGGGTGGCTCAGTTGGTTAAGCGACTGCCTTCGGCTCAGGTCATGATCCTGGAGTCCCTGGATCGAGTCCCGCATCGGGCTCCCTGCTCGGTGGGGAGCCTGCTTCTGCCTCTGACCCTCCCCCCTCTCATGTGCTCTCTCTCTCTCATTCTCTCTGTCTCAAATAAATAAAAAAAATCTTTAAAAAAAAAAATCTTTACTATGAAGTTTTCAGATCAAGAGAGCCCTTAAGGACCTTCCTCTAAATTAGAGACACTTTCCTACCATTTGTTTCTCTTTCTATTCCAATTGAAGAGTTATTTATAGGGAACCCTTGGGTTATGTTCCTCCCTCCCCTCCTAATGTTCTTGCCTCCTAGGAATTGATGCTATTGAATAGTTGAGTGGTCTCTTTAGCAAATGCACACACCTGTTGGTGCTTACATCTTTCAACACCCTCCCCCTGCCCCCCAACCATATGATTTAACTTCCTCCAAGTACTTTTGAAAATTTTAGACTAATGCTTCCAGAGCACTTACCCGGAATTCTATATATTCTCTGGCACTGGAAAGAGCAGTGGCGTGGTCATTATGGAGACATAGGCTCCAGATGTGGTTCTCCTTCCAACTGGATGTTTGGTCTTGTAGAGCCTCTTGGTCTCTCTGCACCTTAGGGAGCACCCTAAAAACATGTGTGGTTCTATTAAAGAGTTCTGATATTCCACTTTTCATTGGGAAGATTGCTGCTGTTGTAATCATCCTTAATATCAGTTATATTTGGGCTTTTTTTTGTGATAAGGAAAACAAGTTACTGGCTTCTAATGAGAGGGTCTCTATTGTGTCGAAAAGGCATTTGTGATGTGTGTCCCAGCATTGATACTGTTCTCTCAGTTCATTAGGCTGAGCCAGTGGTCTCGGCTGAATGAAATAGGATTCTGTGAAAGGAAAATACTTGAGGATGAGCATGGATGTACCATACGTGCACGCAGTGGTGAAGGTGAGGAATTTCCCACTCAGTGACAGGGAGACCTATAAGGGATAACCTGCCACTACTCATGAAAACCGCAATCTGGCCTTTTCTGGGCTCTTCTCCTCTTATTTGTTCTGTGATGCTTTGCTAGTGCTAAGTGACATGGAGAATAAATCCCCTATGCCTATTAAAGAAGCTCTATTCTTTTCTAAATCTCTACTGCTTTCTCCGATCAACCAGTGAAGAATTATATATGGTGCTCAAGAGATCAGTTTCAAGGTTAAAAAAAAGAAAGGTTTAGTTTTTTATACTCTTTTCATCACCACCACATCTCCCTTTAGAGCTCTTTATTTTGTTTTTATATGTCTGTTCTTTTGCTGGCTGCTTTCCTGTTCTTGTTCAGTCTATAATATTTTATTTTGGAATGAAACATTTTATTCAATTGGGAATTGCCTTCGAGTACCTGAGCCTACCAAACAACAATGCTTGGAGTGGAATGGGGGCCCCAAGGAGTAATATGGGGAGTAGAAAGGGGCAAAATTCTTCAGCCTTGTTACCCATGACTGGAACTGTATCCTCTCCCTACAATCCTTCCTTCTAAGAATAACCTTCATTGTCCCTAAAGGTTAAGGGAAAATCATCAAATGAGTTTAAACATTCCAAGGCTTTTGTGTCCATATGGAACATATGATTGGCAGGGAGTCTCAGGGGCTAATTAACTGACTAGAAGCTCAGGAATTGAGTTGTATCTTAAGCTCTCCCATTTATGATTAGTAACCTTGAGCTCACCACTAACTCTCTCTGTCTCTAATTTTATCAAGTGATAAGTGGAAACAATTGGACCATCCATGGGGTTTTGTTAAGGAGAAATAATTGCAATGATTATAAAGTTATTGTGAAAGAACAGAGTGCAGCATAAATGCTTAATATTACAGCCATCCTAAGCTTTTAATCTCTAGGAGCATCAGGGAACTTGAACTTAAGTATATGAATTTGAATATGTGGTTGCTTTTCTCCCACCCAGGTGTTATTTGAACTTGCCCGCTATCACGCCCCCTCCACCATCTTCCTGGACGAGCTGGAGTCAGTGATGAGTCAGAGAGGCACGGCTCCTGGGTAACAGACAGGGTTTTTTTTTTTTTTTTTTGGTCATCACTTCTCTCCTCTTGTAAGTGTGTTTGATGGTCGGAAGCCCATCGACATTTACCAGCAGAATGAGCCTATTAATAAGCCCACAAATTTTCTGCAGACACATGGAAAGGTCTTTAAATTAGATCCTGTTAACTGAATAGCTGATTTAAGTAGTTTTTATAACCGGAGGAAATGTCATCCTCTCTTCCCCCTACCCCCACAGAGTGGTTTTCAGGCCTGAAGATCACCCAGCCCCATGATCCCAGGCTGCCATAACGGTCTTGCTGGCTCAAAATAGCTGTTGTGACCACGTCCTCTGGAGCCAGAGGGGCTGCCTGCGGGGAATGGGGCTGCAAAGGCCAAGTCCCGAGAGGCAGCCCTCGACAAGGTGTGTGAGGCCAGGGAAGCCACCACTTCTCCGTGACATCAGGTTGTGGGCTCAGCCTGATTTTAAATATGTCACATATGTCATCTCTAAAGACTAAGTGTCCACTAATGTCCCCAGCAGGAAAGAACACATCTCAGACTGCAGTGAGCCTTCTGTGTGTGTGTGTGTGTGTTTTAAGAAAGTCTTTCTGTCTTAGTCAGAAGTATTCTTCTTTGAAACTTTTTACTAAACCTGGCTTGGAAGAACACGTCTCTGGGCAATCTCAACAAAGCTGCATTTATTAATGGCCTCTAATGGTCCATTATCAAGGAAGAACTAGTAGTAATAAGAGGCAAATATTTAGCTTCTTGGATGTATAACTACAATACAATTTATGAAATTTTACTTATTGAAAATCATTTTCCTAACGGCAAAGCAACCATTAAGATGCACCCAAGAGGCATGGCATTGGTAGCATTGACTTAAATGGGAAAATTGCCATGGCTTTAATGGGTGCTAGTCAGCCCCAGGCTGGGACACCCTGTCTTTCTATTCAGGACCTGATGGGAGCAGCCCAGTGCACAGGCACCCGGCTGGGCACCCATCACGCAGATCACCCTGGTGCTCACCCCATCTGCGAAGACCCGGCCCACCTGGCTGCCTTACCATAGTGATCGGTGCCCTTGGGCTTCATTCGCTCTGTCCATCTCCACTCCCAGGCTTCCCCACAGCTTTGAATGTGCTAATTTGGGAACTTCATCAACTATCCTTGGGTGGGCTCCCAAACGTCAGCTTCCTTGTCTGGAACTTGGGCCCTGAAAGTAGAGTCTTCAAAGGGTCAGGGAGTAAGGGCAGTGCTCTGAAGACTTCGTGGGTCATATGATGTTAAGAGAAAAATGATGAGTAAATGCTAAATAAACATACAACTCTACTGTGAGACTCTCCTTTCTCTTAGTGGCACAGTTCTTGAAAAAACACATACCTAAATGATGCTGCCACGATAACACACGCAGCGATGAGAGGCTGAATGTTGTGCGGTCCGAGAAATGCATTTTTTGTCCTTTTACTTCAGTCTATACAAGTCAAGAGGAAGGAGAACCTGCTGAATGTAGTCAGTGTTTAGAGCCAATTTAGATCGTTAGGTCCTGTAGTGAGATCCTCCTTGTTGGGAGGGTCTTTGGCCGTGGTGGGGGTGGGGCTCAGAAGGTGAATTTGCACAGAAGACAGCCTCAATCTGCTGTGTAAGGAAAGCATACTTTCCATGGCATTATCTTGGTTATTAGAAGAGAATGAAATAGATTCATGTAGTAGCTCATCTCTCTTCTTCAATAGATTATATCCACAAATTATGCCAAAAGAAATACTGTGTATAAGAGTACTTTTATGCCCGCTACAGAAATGAAAGGATTCTTCTCAATGACACTGTTTTCACCAAGGGCAGATAGTCCTGCAGGTAGACACAGCCTGGCTGCATTAAGTCCATCAGGGCTGTCTACTTTTCAGCTGTTTTCGAGTTCACGGCCAGCCTTTGGTTTTCTTTTCAATATGGTCATTTACTTCCTTTCTATCACCCTCTATGTGAAGATAGTACCAACCTGCTTGTTTCCTCCAACTCTAGTACAAGCGGCTCCTTAGAATGAGGCAGGGAACATGTTCTACAGGCACCGAGTCATCGATGTGAATGCAACGCTTGTCCTGGGAGCAAAGGCTCCACGTCTTGGGAGACTCTCACCTCTGTGTCTCTCTGTAGGGGAGAACATGAAGGAAGCCTTCGAATGAAGACAGAGTTACTGGTGCAAATGGATGGGCTGGCTCGCTCAGAAGATCTCGTGTTTGTCTTAGCAGCCTCTAACCTGCCATGGTAAGAGATCTTGTTACAGTTTGAATACATTTTTTAAAAAGATTTATTTATTTGAGAGCAAATGCCCTAGAGGGGCAGAAAAAGATGGAAAGAGAGAATCTCAAGCGGACTCCCTGCTGAGTGCAGAGCCCTCTGTGGGGCTTTATCCCACAACCCAGAGATCATGACCTGAGCCAAAATAGAGTCTAATGCTTAACTGACTGAGCTATCCAGGTGCCCCTTGAATACATTTTCATGAGCCACTGAGTACGGATGAAGACACTATGTTGACCATTTTGGGCAAAGGCTCATTGTTTGGTTCCAGCCCTGGGGGATTAATCGGAAGTCTTTCCTGGTCAAGTCCTCAGTCCTTGCTATCTGTACCATGAAAGAATCTGCCTTAATAGAAGGAACATAGGCCAGGCCTACCACTAACAATATTTAAAATGGACATTTTGGGGCACCTGGGTGGCTCAGTTGGTTAAGTGTCTGACTTCAGCTCAGGTCATGATCTCAGCGTCCTGGGATTGAGCCCCATGTTGAGCCCTACCTCAGGCTCCATGTTCAGAGAGGAGTCTGTTTCTCCCTCTCCCCCGCCCCTCTCCCTGCTTGTGTTCTCTTTCCTTCTCTCTCAAATAACTAAATAAAATCTTTCAAAAAATAAAATGGACATTTGGAGTTTCAAGTCAAATTATTTACTATATTTGAGCAGGGCTTTGGCAGAGAACTATAAAATGCCAAAGTGTTCAGGCAGGATTCAAGGAATATTCCAGAAATAATATGTTTATACTTTAACAGTATTAAAATCAAACTTTTTTTTTTAATTAGGAGGAAAATCTTTAATGTTGCATAGTAAATAGAAAGCTAAATAATCTCTAATTGAGAATATAATCTACTCTCAGAGTCTTTTATTTAAATTGTATCCCAGAGTGGTTTAAGAACAATTCTAGAAGTGGAATTGGGAAATAAGAGAGTTTGACTAGGGAAAAACAATATCTATTTGGAGAGTATATTTAAAAAAATAATTATAGTCCCTTTATAGTTCCAAGAATATTTTCACATACATTATTTCTTTTGAGTTGCAGGTAAGACAGGAGACAGATAAGGGAGTGCTGTTTTTCCCATTCACAGACAGGGAGCAAGGACAAGGAAGGTCAATCCACCCAAAGTCAATAGCAAATCTGCAACAGAGCTGGGACTTGTCACACTATCCCCCGACTCTCCCCCCTACCCCAACCATTTCTGTTTCCACATGCAAAGACAAAAGAGAAACTCTTCTGTTGTTTCTCTTGCTGGTCATCTAGGCTCCCAAAGAAGTCACTGAAAAGAGATGGTTATGTTCACATGTAATCTGTTATTTTAAATATATTCCTAATTTCAACCTGGTTCCACCTCCCCTTAAATTTGTAAGACTTCACTAATGTGTAAGGTGATCAGCATTTATGTGTTCATGATACAGGTATTTATATACAAATATTAAAGTGACGTCCAAGCAGAGAACTGTCATTTAAATGTGACTGTGAAATCCCTCAGAGAAAGAATCTCCATTGCTTCATCCATTTGAAATAGGGTTGATCATATGCACTTTACTCCTGTCCCAGGTGATGTGGGAGTCAGCTGGAGAGGGTCTGTGCATGGCTCTGGGAACGTCCGTGCACCCTGAGGGAACCGACACATTTTCTACAGGAACAGAAAACCTTCTACTCCCAGTGAATACCTAGGACTTTGTTGAGGAAGTTACTGTGCTGCCACAATTTCCCCTAGGTGATCAGTTTTTGGTAAACCCCAAATAAAATGATCAGAGAAGGAAAAAAAAGGCAATCAATCAAATATTAAAGCTTGGAAGTCTTTTCCAAAAGAATTGCCCCTCATCATGGTAAATGACAAATACGCACATGCTTTTGAGCTTTGCCTGCATCATTACAATGTACCTTGGAACAAATATGTTCTTTCTGACCCATCCTTGAGCAGTGCTGGGCTCTAGAAAAACTTCTTATTATGAAAAATTCCAAACAGACACTAAAGAAGAGGAAAAAGCACCCACCATTTCCCAGTTTCAGTAACTAACATCTTGCCCAACTGATTTATTGATTTTTAAAGATTTTATTAATTTGAGAGAGAGAGCGCGCACAGAGGGAGAGGGAAAAGCAGGCTCCCCACTGACCAGGGAGCCCGACATGGGGTTTGATCCCAGGATCCTGAAATCATGACCTGAGCCGAGGGCAGACGCTTAGCCGACTGAGCCACCCAGGTGGCCCTTGCCCAATTGATTTAATCTATTCCTGCCCCCTCCCTCGTTTTGCTGCAGGACCTTAAAGTATATCCCAGATTGTCCTGTCCCTATCGTCATGTCACCTCTCACAATATACTTCAGTATACATCTTTTTAAAAAAGGACATTTTCTTCCATTACTGTACAATGCCATTACCACCCCCAACAAGATTAACAGTAATTCCTCCATATCATCTAATACCCAATTTACATTCAGATTTCCCAGACTGCTCCAAGATGTCTTTGTACAATTAATTTACTGAACTGGTATCCAAACAAGGTTTGAATTTTGTAATTGGTTTTTTCCTTAAGTCTCCTTTAATCTAGAACATCCCTCCTCTCCCTTTTTTCCCACTTGCCATTGACTTGATTGTCAGGGAGACTGTCTTGTAATACATCTAAACTGTCTGGATTGCGCTCATTGTATCCTTTAGTGGGAAAAATAATATTTAGAGATTGCAATCTTACAGGGGTGCTCCTTGCTAACTGGGTTTTCATTGCTTCTTGGCCTTTTAATTGGGCAGAACTAGGGAAATACATAGTTTTAAAAAGAAGCAAATAATGACTTCATACTAGTATTTCCCATCCAAATTTAAGATTACAAGAGCTTTAGTTAAATTATTTGATTATATTTGTACCTTTTCTCTAATTGTGAAAATCTTAGTTCTTAACATTAATATAATTAATAATCACTTAATCCTAATATGTAGATATATTTTGTATTTGTGTATGGAAGAGTTTCTCAGTAATAATACCAATACTCTCATGACAGCAATATTTTGATGAGGAAGATGGTACATACCTGGCCTGAGATGGAAGTGCTAATTCAGGATTTCTTAACCTCAGCACTACTGACATTTTGGGCCAGATGATGCTTTGTGGGGGCTGTCCTGGGCATTGTATGGTGCTGAATAGCATCCCTGGCCTTTCCTTGCTAGATACCAGTAGCACAACCCTCCACTGTAACAACCAAAATTTGCTTTCAGACATTGCCAAATGTTCCCTGCGGGGGGGCGGGGGGAGAAGGGGGTAAAATCATCCCCAGTTGAGACTCACTGAACAGAAGTAAGTGACAGACATTGTATAGAAACAAACTGTCACATGCCCCACAGATGAACTCTCAAGGGTTTTTTTAAAACCCCCCAAATAATTGAATTTGGTTAACTTACACAAAAGGTGGCATATTATATAAATTGTTCTGTATCTTGATTTTTTTAAACAACATATTCTGAGCAGAAAGTTTTTACTCCCTTTACAGCTGTGTATGTCCCATTTTGTGCATATGATAATCTATCCCAATCACCTGATGATGGGCATTTGGGTTATTTCTACTCTTGCTATTATGAATAATGTTATAATGAATAATGGTGCACATCTATCACTTTGTGTATTTGCCAGTGTATCTTTGGGATAGGTTTCTGGAAATAGAACTGCTGGGTCAAAGGGTTAATGGGCATGAAATTATAGTAGAGATTGCCAAATTTCCCACCATAGAGGTTGTACATTTTGTATTCCCACTAGTGTCCTGCTTTCATTACTTAACTTTATAGTGAGAACGTTTCCAAAGTCATTAAATAATCCTTGAAAATTGGATTTTGTAATGGCTGTCCAAAATTCCCACATGTGAATATGCCACAATTTAGTTAATCATTCCTTTCCTGTTGAACATAAATGATGCTCCCAACTTTTCTCTATTATAAATAACACTGAAATGAACTTCCTTGAATAAAAATCTTTGACCAAAATTTGGGTTTTTTCTTGAGGACAGACTTCCGGAAGTAGGATTACTGTATAAAAAGGATGTGGATGGTTTTTAAGCCCCTGGCTACATACTGCCCAAGTCCATCTATGAGGAGATACTGTGTTCTTATTGAGGCTATTGGAACAGACCTTTCTCCTGGCTTCAGTGTCTTACATGAGGGAACAAAATTATCTGATTAAAGCAGACAGTCCTTCTGGGGGAAATAACTAAATCATACCAAACTATATAAAAACCCAATCTTAAAATCCCCAAAGGGATTCTTCATGGTTGGTTAGTGGTAGTTCTCACCTACAGCTTCTTTCAGGGCACGAGGCTATCATTTACTACTTGTTAACTTACCATCTTCCGTGAGGGGGGAGTCCATTCTGTCTCAAAGGGTTGGTCAGTTTTCCCTTCTCAGCAGTGAGATGGTGTGCAGCCTCTCTACCAAGGAGCACCTTCCCTCATCTATAGCATCACAGAGACGACTGGAAGGAAGCAAGAAGTAACAGTGTGGCTGTGTCATTTAATGTGTAAATAAGCAATGAGGAGAATAACAAATGTTGCATTTGTAATATTATCATTAAAATAACAGCCATGTAAGAAATGTTTAGTGAGCACAATTAGGGCTAATTTGACCCACCTCAATTGTTAAGTATGCACAAACTCACGCCTAAGAGTCCAGAGGGAAACAAAACACTGAATAGGGCCATTAAGGCAAATGCCATCTTTAGATGTCTATTGAATTTGATGGTAGTTTGTACAAATAAGGTGTGAAAATTTTATGTGTGGAGCATGAGGAAACTCATCTCTTATTAACTATTGCAGAAGGGCTAGAAAGTTCACTATCCTTCTTAAAAATCAAACACTAAGTATGACCAAACTTTGGATTAAAAACAAACAAATCCCAATCCTAATATTCAGAAGGAAGCATAAGATCCAAAAGATTATTGCCCTGGGAACGTGCAAGAACTTACCTATGTAAACTGACTTCTTCCTGTACGAGCTGTCTCCTCTCTGGTGTGGTATTTCTATAAAACTGTGTGCATGGGATTGAAGAGCTCAGCACACATAACCCCAGTTCTTTCCACAATCTCTCTGTGCATTTCCTGGGCTCCGGGGAAAAGCCTCATGCCTTGGCTATCATCACCCTCTAGATCAACATTTATCTGAGAATGGTCTGCCATAGGTCAGTAAGGATTATCCAAAAGATAGAATCTAGTGACCTAATAAGTTCAAGAAATACTGAATTAAAGACAGTTCAACTGGTTTCCCCCCATGACAGGACTCCTCAGTGCCTTCAAGATGTTATTATGTGAAGCTAAGAGAAAGAGGTACTTTCCATACTTATTTGACCCCAGAATCCTTTCCTCAAGGAGCATTTCACAAGACCAGCGTTCCATTTGAGAATGCTTTGGGAAACAGTGGTTTGCATGAACTCACTCTGACCTGATGATTGCCTCTTTTTCACTGCAATTGCATTCAGTCATGCTTGCAGGCTTTTTATTGTTCACTGTATTTTTGTGCTTACACAAAAAATAGAGTGGTCAAACTGTTTTGCTAGAAATTGCTTCTGTCCATACATAATGTCACTATCCCATGCAGCAATATTGAGTCCATGATCCTCCACATGAGGTTGATGGGTGATTCTAACACAACCAGGAAAGAAGGGTGTGGTGCAGGACTGGGTATGTGCAGTGGGGAAGGCACAGGACTGGCTGAGCAGGAGGTTGTTAGTAGTAACCTTGCCCTTGTCCCGTTCACATCTTACTCCATTTGCTTGTTTCTGTCACACATAAATCTCTTTCAACCTGGCCCTACTGTGGCATTATTCTTGCTTCTTAATGGTGCAGGTTGACTTGTGAACTGTAATTTTAAAACCAAATTTTACAAATTATGAAATATGACTGTTTTATGGGAAATTTGAGAGCTAGAAAAAAGTACTCATAATTTCACCACTCAGACACAGGTATTAGCCTCTTTGTATAAACCTTCTGGCGAAAATGGGTTAATTATCATTTGTTGCCTGGGTACCTTTCCATGGTAATTTTTTTTCCCCCCAAAGAAGGAATAGTTTTACTGTTTCGGTTATGTAGAAAAGTAATACATGTTCATTAAAAATATAGTATATGCTTTGGTATTGCTTGAAAATTAACAGTCCCCTGTAACTACCCTGGCAAATATAAATCCTCCCAGAGTCTTGTGTGTGTGCAGCTTAGACACACACACACACAGACACACACACACACACGATAAAAAATGTGATCATCCTATGGATGCATATTATTTTCTTATATGGCCTGTTTTTGTTTTTTTTCTTTCACTTCATATATTGTGGACAAGTTTGAAAATCTACTTGAAAATCTACTTGAAAATTATATACAATTCCACTGTATGGATAGGCCATAATTTATTTGATTTTCCTTTTCTTTTTTCTTGAGGGTTTTAATATAGCATCAGCCTGGTGGATCATGCTCCTCCCACCACGGCTCAGCTTCCAGCTCAGCCCCACAGGTACTCTTAGGTGGGAAGCGGTTTTTTTCTTTAGTGTTTGGCTGGAGTAGGGCAGGTATTATCAAAAAGGTTTTCATAGTCCTTCGGATGAAGAGAATGGGCTTTTGCCTGTGCATGTTAGCAGTTTTGGGGCCTATGCGTCTCCAGTACCCCACTGGGGATATATGAGAAGCAAAAAGAAAACCCAGAGAAGCCACCGTCACATCATCCCTTGAGTCCCGAGGTGCCTAACCTGTCCTCCTCCTTCTTTCCACCCTTCAGTGTTTCCCGGTATTGGTTCACTGTATTATGTCCAGAGATTTTAATTCTAAGAGGGTGGGCTATTCCATCTTGGCCAAAAGTGAAAGTCTCTTCTCTTCTCTTTGATTCCCTTTTTATCTATTATACATCTTAAACACAATGATTTTATACTCCAGGTCAGTGGAGTCTGTTAGTTTCTCCTGCTTTCATTCATGGTGGTTTGTTATAGGTCTTGTAATTTTAGATGGTGAGCTTCCATTTAATGAAGGGGACTCCATCTGTGAGTCTTGCATGTGCCCTTCCAGAGAAAATTTATATTTGACTGTGTCAAGCTTTAGACCACTTTCAGCTAATCCTCAGCTTAAGGTTTCTCTGATCATGCCAATGAGAGTAGGTCTGTAGTGCTGAATCACAAAGGAAGACTTTTTCCTACCCTAAAGTGCAAGACAGACAGATTTCCTGTTCCTTCCCTGGTAGTGGGCGTATTTTTCTAACCCATCCTTTCAAAGAGGATGTGCCCTCTGGTTGTTTTATGTAATGGGCCTTGACTCCACCTCCCATCTTGAATGGGCCCAAGGCCTTCTATGCTATCCCACATGTAAACTTTCAGATCCAAACCTTTTTGTAACTATGAAGCAAACACCCCAAGTCAGCCACAGCTTCAACTTCAACAGCTCAGTGTTGCTTCCTCTTCATTTTTAGTTCTCAAGAATTTTGGCCCTGCTTCTTTGTGGGCTCATTATTGTGTATTCAAAAAGTGTTTCCTATAATTCATCGTTTTTAAAGGGGCTTTATAACAAGAGATTTCTGGGTATCTAGAGTTCTTTATTGTGCTGGAAACAATCTTCCCATTTTTAAAAAATCAATTATTGATAATATATTTGCTGGAAAGAGTAATGGGAATATATCTTTGTTGTTGGTATTATAGTAATTAGAAATAATTTTTACTCTTTATTATAAAGAAATAATGCTTTTAACCCAAATACCAGTAGGGCATAAACTGAACCGATTGCTGTAGACTTTCCTACTGGATCCTCTTGTCTCTGGCTTGTGAATTCACTTGTCAGAATGAGAAGTCTCTGGAGATGAGAGGCTGGAGACTCCACATGGAGACTACATCTTTCTTTTCTTTTTTTCTAGATTTTATTTATTTGAGAGAGAGAGAGAGAAAGAATGCACAAACAGGGGGAGGGGCAGAGGGAGAAGCAGACTGCTGAGGAGGGAGCCTGGTGAGGGGCTCAATCCCAGGACCCTGGGATCATGACCTGAGCCGAAGGCAGCTGCTTAACCGACTGAGCCACCCAGGCGCCCTAAGACTACATCTTTCAATTCATCTTCAAAAGCATTGCCCAGCCAAGTGAGTTTGATGAATCATCCCCTAAAATCATTGTTTCCGTTATTTTCACTAAAGATGAAAATAGAAAATTTTATTCCCATTGCCTGAGTTGATGCTGATTTTCTCTATTAATTAGAACTAATGACTTACAATGCTAACTTTCAACAAAGCAGATAAACCTTCATAGATAAATGCTGGGCTTTAAGGAAGCAGACCCTTTTACATGAAGCCGATAGCCCTGCACCAAAAGTTCATTCATTCATCCAAGTAGTATTTATTGAGCACCTATTCTGAGTATTCTGCATGATGGATGGATGGGGAATTCAAGAAATATGGTCCATGATCATTGGCCTCTGGAAGCTGCCTATCTGATGGGACAATGAATGAGATATAAACACAAATAATATGAGATGGGGATATAGCCAGTACTATGTGAATGGTACAAACAATAAGTAAAATACAATTGCACAGGGAAGAGGCCATTTCTGAGAACAGAAATTTAAAAGAAAAAAAAAAAGGCCTTTATGGACTAGAGCACACTTGAATTGGTCTTGTAAAAATGACTTGGCTCTTGGTAGACAAAGTGGACAAAAATGACCTGAGTAGAAGCTCAAGGAAGATGGCAAAACGTGGATTCCGAGAACATCAAACAGACCAGTTTGGCCCACATGGGAAATGTAGATAAAAGTCAGCTTATGTGGGCTTCACTGTGGAAAACGAAGTAACCTTTACTGCTTTTTTCATTGGCTCCCCATTATCTACCACACAGTACTGCAGTTCCCTACTCTGCTCTTCAAGGGCGGCCATGATCACTCCCTTCATGTGGGTTATGGACGTAACGCAAAGGTTGCTTACAAAATGGAACGTTCCTTTCCTCCTGCCATACTGAGATAGTTTGACCTTAGTATGTCTTAGCTATTGAATGAATGAAACAGTTCTGTTTCCAAATTCTGTAAAATTTGGAATTATCTCTGTCCCAGGAACCACACAGTTTAACAGGGGAGACAGGCAAAGGGCTGAGGAGAGGCCCTGAATTCAGGTTTGGCGCAGAAGCCCAGAGGCTCGGGTGCAAGGCCTCGGGGCCCAGGCAACTGTCTGGGAGGCCAGTGAGCACAGGCCCAGCAGCCCGGGCCTGAGGCCTTGTGAGGCTCTGCTGTGTCTCACATCACTCTTGCTGGTTGCTTTTGCCTTTCGAGGTGATGAAGGTACCAGAGAAACAAAATAAAGGAGACATGAGAATGGAACAACTAGTCAAATATCAAAGTGTAAGAGCCAAAGGGAGTATTTTCTGGTTGCCACACATTAAATTTTTTCATATAACTATATTGGCATAAAGAATAATTCCTGGGTACATTCCATTTGTCCTTTGTTTCCTCCCTTGTATGATTATATTATTATTGCTGTCATTAAAAGTGCATCCATCAGACCTGGCTGTCAGAGAGTTGCATTTACTTTGTGCCCACAAGCAGTTTTGAGGTAAATCTCTTGCTTTAGGGCATTAGTTGATCAATACAGACCTCTATAGTGAGCTATTGTTTCCCACCCCCTGCATGACTCCATTTTCCTAAGGCATTCTGGGGATCTGGTCTTCCTTTCAATAAGAAGTCCCTCCAGGTGGGATGGGGAGACAGAGGAGAAGGTACCCCTGCAAAAGAATGTTCCTTCTGCAGTCCCCTGCCTTTGCAGGAGGGGCAGCTGGTCCAAGGAAAGGCCTTGAAAGAAATATGGCAACTGCTTGTCACCCCCAGCTCTACAATTTCCTTCAGGATAGTCTTTGTTCCCTTCTTGGGTTTTAGTCCAATCTCAAGTCCCATTTTCATCTTTGATGTTTACGGGACCAACATATCTGCAGTCCAAGGCGAAAACCTCCCTAGGATTGCCTCTAGTTACTCATAAGGAGGGAGTCTGTCTCATTGAATTCTGTATTTTGAAGACTTAGCAGTGACAACACACTTGGCAAGTGGTCAGTATCGCTGAACTGAATTCCTAAAATGTGAGTTTAATGGTTTCTCCTCTATTAAATTATCCCTCCCTCCCTGCCTTTCCTTTCCCATCTTCTCCTCCCATTCAGCCACAACTCTCTGCAGTCTGAATCCGCTCTGGATTCATTTAGACATACCATATTGTATCGATTTCATCTTCTCGGAGCCATGTCTGCCAGAACCTTCTTGCCAACACCAAACTGACCTGATGATCCTCTGCACCCATAGATAAGGAGACCCTGGGAGCTCACCTCATCATCCTGGAGATGTCCTTTCTTTTCTGTTTCTTGAATCCCACGAAGCCCTTTGGTTTGGTTTATGCTCTCCCTTTGGTCTTTTAGTACTTTCCTGATAAAGGGTGCATGGGAGGTAAACACTTGTAGGCTTTGTGTGTTGAACATATCTTAATTCTGTCCCCTTAGTTGTTTGATCAAGATACAGACTTCTACATTGGAAATTATTTTTCCTCAGAAGTTTGAAGGCATTGCTCTATTTTCTCTTACTATCTTACATTGCTGATGAGAAGTCTTATTACTGATCCTTTGTCTGTAACCTGTTTTTTCTCTCTGGAAGCTTTTACAGATCCTCTTTGTTCTTGGGGTCCTGAAATTTCATCATGATAGGAGTCGGCAGTCTACTGACAGTTACTGTGCTGGCATCAGACCCGTACCAGAAGCATAGGCTCTGGGCTCTCGCTTTTTGGGTTCAAATCCACTGCCACCATTCTCTAGCTTTCTGACCTCGAACAAGCTACTCAAACTTTGTGCCTCAGTTTCCTCACCTTAAAATGGATAAAAAAAACAGTACCTACCTTGTAGGGTTGTTGTGAGAATTAAGTGAGTTAATATCTGTAAAATGCTAAAGCCAGTGCCTTCCACTTAGAACTACTATTTAAGCAACAGTTTTTATTAATATTTCAAATACAAAAAAAAAAATAATTTCCTAGAGTTTTGCAAGATTTCCTTGACCCTGTGCCTTGAATGGAAATGTTGGCCTTGAGAGGGTGAATGGCTACACAGAGGGAGAGGGCCTGAGTCTCTGACGTGAAATGAAATTTCAACAGGGCAAGGCTGATAAAGAACAAAGCGAATGCAAAAAAAGCAACAGGTGATTGTTATTGCTGGTGAAGCACTCCCAGACTATGGATTCTCAGCTCAGGACTAGAGGAATAACAGGTAAAGAAAAGACAGAATCTTTAAAGAAATCTAGTCACCCCAAGCTAGGATTCACATATGCTCCCTGAAAGGGTGTTTTCATTTTTCAGTGTAAAAGGGAATATCAGGACAGAGATTCAGAATGAGAGTAAGAAGAACAGGAAGATGCGCTAGAAATTCTGTGTCTTTATGAATGAGAAATATCTGGTGGTGATGCTTTCATTGTTACTCTTTATGGTTAAGCCAGACCAACACACAGGCATCGCCTAATTTCTATACTAGGAAATCAAATAGATGTTTCCCTCCCTTCTAGGAACCTGAAATTTGAACATATAAAGAGTTCACAAACTCACGCTCAAAATGATCTATTAATAGGCATGGTAATTCAGAGTAACCAAAGAGCCCCAGTTAATGAGGGAAAGCTCTACTTTACCGAATACTGCCAAATAATACGTTTGGAATGTAAAAAAAAAGTTTAAATCACTATTTTGCACCACTCTTATGAAATAACCAATTTAAAGATCATTAACAGATGCTAAAACCACTAGTTGAAAGGGGATGGGAAAAGGAGTATTTACACAGTGCCAAAGTATTGTACATAGAATACTTACTACTTGTGAAGAGATGTTTACTTTACAGTGGGGTGATCTGTGGTCACCAGATGATCCCAGTAATTAGACACCACATCAGTAATAGTGGGATACACCAACATGTGGATCCCAATGTAATGAATATGAAAACATAAAATCATCTATGAAATATACTTGCCAAAAGTCATTACTCTGATTCTAATTAAGCTTTTAGATCTAAATTCCATCTTAGAGGACAGGACACAGAGGAACCAGTTATATGATACCATGAGGAAAACATCAGGAGAGTCAGAATGTGTCTTATCTTGGTCAAGGCAAAGTCTAAAGAAAGGGCAAGGAGACTGGTCTAGATTATAAGAGATTTGAGAGATATAACCGTATGTAATGCATGATTCTTGATTGGATTTGGGTTGGAAAAGATATTTCAGGGATCACTGGAGAGATCTGAATATGGAATGAGCATTAGACATATTATACAATCAGTGTTAATTCTGCTGGGTGTCATAATAGTATTGAAGCTATGTAAGAAAATGTCCTTATTGGGGGAATTACATGCTAAAGCATTTAGGGGGGGGGTTTCATGATGTAATTTACTTTGAAATAATTTGGCTGGATAAATACATATGAAGCAGATATGACGAAATGTTGACTGCTGTTGAATCAAGATGGAAGGTTTACGGATACCCATTGATTCCACTTTTCTATCTGTTTGGAAATTTTATATTAGGAAGTTCAAGGAACTGGCTTGCAGATGCAAAATTGAGTAAACCTGGCCTGACAGTGTTTTAGGAGGGGCAGGCATGCGGGTCTCAAAGGGCCACATTTGCACTGGGCTCCCTGGAAGGAGCTTTTTGCTCTTTTGAATTCAAGCAGAGCATGGCGTGACAGTCATTCGCTCCAGAATGTATGAGAGTTTGGGAAGAATTAATGTACTTCCCAGAGTGCCCAAGTTATTGTCAGGAATAATAACTCACTGGCAGCATCAGACTGAATAATTCATGGTACGACTACAATGGGAATACTCACGGGTGGTTGTTGTTAGTTGATTTCTCCCCCCCAAGTTAAGTCACCTAAAATTATCTCCTTTACATGAGGTATTTTGGGGATGTGTTTTCTTTTTTTAACCAAGTCTTTCTCCCAAACAACATGAGGTAATTGTCCTATTCGCTCACGTACAGATGTAGAATAAAGTCAAAATGCAGAATTGCTTCCTACAATGCTAAATCGTTCTTAAAATATAGTTGTTGCTTCAGAAGTGAGTTGGCCGCTCTCACCAGTTCCTCTGTTTCCCCCACAATCCCAGGGAGCTGGACTGTGCCATGTTACGTCGTCTGGAGAAAAGGATTCTGGTTGGTCTCCCCAGCCGGGAGGCCAGGCAAGCCATGATCCGCCACTGGCTGCCCCCTGTGAGCAAAAGCAGAGCTCTGGAGCTGCGCACGCAGCTGGAGTACAGCATGCTGAGCCAGGTAAGCCACCCTCGAGGGAGCACCTGCAGGCCAAGCAGCCGCCACACCAATCTTCTGGGCAGGGTCCCCTCGGGAGCTGTTTTGGGGGCATATTCCTTGAGCCACTTAGAAAAGACCCGAGCTGCCCCAGCAATGCGATGCGCTTCTTCCTCATGAGAGGGTGAGCTCTTTGTCCCTCAGAAACATTCACGCGGGCAGAGACAGCACGATGTAGCGGCCAATAGCATAGGGTTTCGACCCAGAGCACCCCGTGTCAAATCTGGGTCCTGCCCCTGATCAGCTGTGTGGCCTCAGGGAAACCCCCGACTCTCTAAGCCTGTGTCTTCATCTGCAAAACGGGTAACTGATATGCCACAATGGATTACCATGATGATCAAGTTTTTACAAATGGAAATGGGGGTCCATGCCTGCTACCCTCACTGTCACTGGTGTCACTCCCTCCTGAGTGGACACTTGAACATGTTCTCTGTTCATCTGAGTGATGAACATCTCAATGATGTTCCGGAGGTTCCGCAAAGGCAGGAATGATCTTATTCACAAGAACAAAAGTGTCTACCAAATTTGATCCATCCTTGGATTTGGGCACAAGGGCCCCATTAGGCTACCATGGGTGGTCTAGTCCTTCACCAGCAACTTCCAGCATGTGTCTGGATGGTGTTAGGAAGGTGTTTACTGCCCAGCTTCTCAGGTTATCCAAACACATAAGCAACCCCTCTCCCTCCCAAACATTAGAGATCTGGGAATCTTTGTGTAATGTTCGTGAGGGACAGACACAGATTCTAAACAGGGGCTCTTTTTAAATTTATTTACATTCATTAGCCAACATATAGTACATCATTAGTTTTTGACGTAGTGGTCAGTGCTTCATTAGTTGCGCACTGCGTCTTGCCTGTAAGAACGTGATCACCACCAGCACTCTGCCTGCTGACCAACGGCTGGTCTGCGGCTGTTTCAGGAGACTGAAGGCTACTCAGGCTCAGACATTAAGCTCGTCTGCAGGGAAGCAGCCATGCGGCCTATGAGGAAGATCTTCAGTGCACTTGAAAATCACCAGTCAGGTATGGTGGGAGTCACAGCGACTCTGGGAGAGAAATTTGTTTAAAAACCCAACTTTCACCAGCAGATGGAGCCTTGCTCCTGTTCTTGGTGGCTCTTTGCACTTGCAAACGTTCTTTGGTCAAATTGTCCTCCATGTACTCATTTCTCCTCTGGTGTTCTGTTTTGGATCAACTTTGCCCCAGATGATAAACTCCTTAGGGCTTGGGCTTTTATTTCTTTGGCACGCTGTGATGTTGGGCTGGATCCATTTGGGGCACTATATAACTCTTAAACACTACTTTGATAATGATACATTTAAGTCATATTTTTTATCTGGGCTTCAGGGGCTGGGATGCACATTAAAGAATTTCTTCCCCAGCTCTCTTTAGTCTTGCCTTTTGCTGCATTAACCATTTAGAATGCTGCATTATGCATTGTCTTGAAAAAAGGTCTATTAGCCTTTCAAGAGCACAGATCATCATAAGGTCAATTATTGTGCTGTTACTGCTGTGTTTTTATCTAGAGAGCAGCAACTTACCTGGAATCCAGCTGGATACAGTGACCACTGCCGACTTCTTAGATGTGCTGGCTCACACCAAGCCTTCAGCAAAGAATCTGACTCAGAGATACTCAGCCTGGCAAAGTGAGTTCGAGTCTGTATGAAATCACATCTACCCTGACCTGGCCACAGAGACAACCACGGAGGCCTTCCGATTTATTAGTTTAAGCAGGAGAAGAACATGATGATTGGGAGAGAAAAGAGAAAAATTATCTTTGAAGACTGAGTTCGTTTGAATAACTGTACTATTTTGGAAATAAGAGATATTTTTGTTAATTTTTCCTGATTGATGCCCGCAAAATACTGAAGATGTTAATTACAGGTGTATATGCTCCTAGTCACACAACAGAGACTTTTCTCACACTTAGACTCCATACAATTTGATGAACAGTTTCTTACGGTGTTCCTTGTTTGTGAATTGGTGTTTTCATTTTGAAGAAAAAGATGTAGTTTGGGAAGCTGTGTTGGAATGCACAGTGGCTCCGAGTGGGGGGCCCATTAGAAGCGAAGCGTAACAGACCATCCAACCAGCTGATGGGCTTGAGGGTTGGTTAAGAATAGGCGCGGGGAAGGACACGCAGTGTTTCTTCTGACAACATCCTGAGTGTCATCAGCTCTCCCTAACTCTGACCCCAACCAGTTTTCTCAGCAGCAAAGCCCTAGCAGACTAGCTCCCCCCTACCGTGACGCCCCCCCTCCCCCCCCCCGCCCCCTGCTCTGCCCCAGCCCCCGGGTTCGCTGCTCCACCTCAGGGGAGGAGCACCTGGAGTCTCAAGCTAGCAGCACACAGCCACTAGCCTCCAGCCTGAGCTTCCAGTCTGAGTTCTGGCTCCCAGTAACATCTTTGGACAGTTCACATCCCGTGTGCTCTGCCGTCTTCCCACAGCTCCTCGGTGGATCCAAAGCTTAGGATGGGGAACCTGGGATTCAGAACAGTCATCCTGGGTCTTCCCTACCCTTAGGCTCCCCCACATCTCCTTATGGGGTTGGTAACAGTTGGAAGCATCTCCCTCAGAAACTCATGATCTGAGCCATCTATCTTAAACCCCGGAAAAATGCCGCTAAGTGATGGCACCACCCCTCTTCCCAGCTAGAACTTACCTGTGGTTGTCCCCCCTTCTTCCCTTCCTCACCTCATTTTCTTCATCCCAGCAAGGCACACTCCTCCTCCGAAGAAAAACTTGCAGGAAAAAGGACATTTTGGGTAGCTAAATATTCCAAAGGATTAACCTAATTTTAAACAAAAACAAAGCATTTTGGGGAGGGTACTGATTATTTTGAGTATATCCTCAAATGCCTTTTAAAATGCCATTTCATGGGCAATGTAGTCAAACTGGAAATATACCACATATAATGAATTAAAAATAAACAAAAAGACATTTCATCTTAGTATATACTAAACTTAAGCTTCTTCATGATCATGAAGGTCTTACACTATCCAACACTAGCTCTACCCTAGATGTAGAAATCTCTAAGTGGTCTTAGACATCTGCTTCTCGTGTTTTGGGATCATTTTCTCTTCTTTCTCTCTCTTCCTTCCTTCCTTCTCTTTTTTTTAAGATTTTATTTGTCAGAGAGAGAGAGAGACAGAGGGCAAGCACAAGCAGGGGGAGCAGTAGGCAGAAGGAGAAGCAGGCTCCCCGCTGAGCAGGGAGCCCGATGCGGGACTCGATCCCAGGACCCTGGGATCATGACCTGAGCCGAAGGCAGACGTTTAACCGACTGAGCCACCCAGGTGTCCCAGGGTCATTTTGTCAGGCTGTCAGCGGACATTTCTTGCAGCTGTTAGTCCATTAGCTTGTGGCCACTACCATCCTTTCTGATTTTATAAAATCTCAAGTGGATGGAACCTCAACCGTTGTTAATTTGTCATGGTTGGAAAGTAGATATGTTTGTGTGTGTGTACTTAAAAGTGAACAAGTAAAGCGGCAGAGGAGACAGCCCCTGTGGACAGCATGCTTTTTGACAATGTTTGGCCCCTTTTAGCTTGCTGCTCTTTCCTTACTCCAGTCAGGGTAAGCGTGGTTTTGCCATCCCTCACAGCAAATACACACAACCCCACGCACAGCTGACTATGCACCTGACACACCTCCACATCCTTCCTCCATTTCTAAGAATCTCCAAGTTCATCTTTGTAATACTTCCATCTTATTCAATCGCATATTCAATCCTCCTCTTTTCCCTTGGGAAGTTTGTCTCCAAATAATTATGCAAGTATGTTTGTAGGTCATGCTTTTATTTCAGTGACTTCTTTACCTGTTTTATACACTAATGACTTCTTGCTTTGGATGAAATGAAATGTAGCTCTTTCATCCCTCTGCCGTATCCCCATCATCGCCAAATAGTTAAGACTTTAGGTTTACTCAATAATCGGTATTTCTATGGGAACGTATAATGTTCATGCAGGGCCACTAGTGAATCAAAATTACATTTCCTGTATATGTTGGTTTTGTCTTTCCAGGAATTAATTAAGTGCCTTATTTTATCATTTGCTTAATTTTTGAAGTATCTCTTCTGATTTTTTGCAACCCAGTCTCAGATCTGTCAGATCCCTATCAGTATTGGTTTCCAAATGGCCAGTATCAGATAAACTGTCAATTCCATTCCCATACCCTCTGGTCCTGGTGTTTTAAGGGGAAAGGAACCAAGAGCCCTTACAGAATAAGAACCCTTATAGAATAAGCAGAGATGTACCTAGTCTCCCCATTTGCAGTCCTGTAGCTCACCCTGGCTCACCACCACGCCCATTCTCCCCAAGGCCTTCACTTTCATGGCTCCTGGGGCTCCAACCATTTTGTTTAACAGCTTCAAACTAAATCTTTGCTTCTCAGTGCTACCTCACACCTCACCTCCTACCTAGTCTCCAAGACTTCAATCTTTGAGGTTCTATAGGATGAGTTTTGGTTGTCTTTCTTTGCACAGATTTTTGTTATCAGCAACCTAACCACTTCCATCCTTCAAATTATTGTACCCTCTTGTCCACTGGTATCTCCTCTTGTGGGCTCTCCTTGTGAGTTTATACCTTCTTTATTCCTTCACTTTGATTTTAGTGGGGCTCTGAGAGAGACCAACTAAGACACATGATTAGTTTACGTTTAGAGTCTGTATTATTTAAAAAGTAGATTAGAAGTACATCCAAGTTTATGGGGATATAGGAGCCTGGCCTATTGTTGGAGGAAAATTTAACTTCATCCAACATGTGGTATTTTCTCCTAAGGCAGAAGTCACAATGTCTGTAGGAACTTGGAACACAGTTAACACATGGGTAAAGTAAGCTGGGTGTAAGACAACGAAGAGGTGGGGCTGTGATGGAGGGTCAGACTACCTGAATGACCCAGCAGTGGTGCGGCTCCCGCCGAACCTAGAAATTTGGACCCAACATTGCCCAATCTTCTAGTATTCCTAGGAAAACCTGTAGCAACTGATCTGCATTTGAGATCTCCTGATACCCAGATGTTGGCCACTAAGGTTAAGTATCTAGGTTAGAATTCATGGCTTGTCCCTACATTTCATTCAGGTCACCATCAGAAGCCTTCTCAGCTGGACTCTACTTATCTAAAATAACTCCCTCCCTCGTTTTCTTGTCCCTCAAGGAGCCATATAGCTATTGTGTTAAGTAGTGTGTGTATTTTATCATCCGTTTACCCTACCCAAATGTTAGCCCCATGGTTGTGGAACTTTTGTCACTGCCACTGAATGAATGCAACATTCTTTAAAATGAGCACTGTATCTGCTTCACAGGCTAGAAGCTGTGATTACTGTTCCAAAGCACTGAGTTCACTGCACACGACCTCTTCTCTGAGAGTACTTCTACAACACACCTTGAACTTGTCAGAGCCCTTCGGACTTTTCAGTATATTTTTATATGCTTTGATTTCCCAACTAGAAGATATGCATCTTAGCAACTGGAGCTACACTCTGCTCTGTCTTCCTTTGTACTCTACCCATGGCTGGCATTTAATAATTTGGTTTTCTCAGGCACATTAGCCAGTGAAACAAACAGGAGTTAAGAGATGTGTAGGACATGAAGGTAAGAACTGAAAAGAGTAAGGTATTCAAAATTGTTGGATTTTAACAGATACATAATTTAAATGATAAATTGATTTCTGGTGCTCTGGTGTCTTGTTCTGGTTGTCCCTCAGAGAAGCATGCTTTGGGGTAGTCGGCCTTGATGGCTGGCATGATAAAGTAAGCAAATGTCCTATGCATTTATGCCAAAGAAAAATGTCTGTGACTATGTCAAAGGGACCTGATAACGCAAACATGGCTTTACTCAAGCAGCTGCTAATATGAAAAGGGATTCTGCTGTTCGAAGCAGAGTGTTTTAATGGAACAGATTAGTGCAGTTTAAAAAATTCTTTACCAAAGGTGCGAAAGGCTTTCCGTTTCATACTACAGGAAACACCACTGATCTCAAACCAAATAAACCACCTGTGCATGTGTGTTTTTGACTTGGTCCAGAATGGTACAGTAATTTCTGAATGTGGGGTTAAGAGTGAGGTGATGACACTATTCTTCCAAGGGAGTTTCTGACGTCCGTGGCTACAGGTGTTCGACGGCCCTGATCAGCTCCGACAGATGCAGAATGGTGTGTAGGAAGAACTACAGCAAAACGAGCCAATTCTGGAGGGAGGAGAGGGAAGTGGTGGGATAGCCATCTGTCTCCGCCACTGGACTGGTGCTCTGCCTTCCACACCCAGGACACACCTGCCTTACAGCAGATGCTCAGTACTCCTCTCCTGATAGTGGGTATTCTCTACTACCCTTTCCAGTCCCAGAATGGCACTTGGTCCCTTTCCTGGGCCTAGCAGAGGATTATAGTAAAACTGATGCAAACACTGTCCTCGAGGTCATACCACTGGAAAGCACTTTAAATGGAATGGCTAGAAAAACGAAGTCTTTCCAGTATTTTGGTTATTAAATCTCCTCCGTGAGGCCCAAGGCAGACCAACCGGCTATGCTGGGAATGTTTATCGTAACCTGGATCTAAAACCAGATTTTTATTTATCCTCATGAACCTCACTGTGGACAGGTCAGTTAACAAGCCCTATATGATGCTTGTTAAATAAGTAAAGCATGAAACAAAAATTTTAATGGCCCAATACGGCCAAACTAGAATGGAGGAAAGAAGCCATTTCTCTTGGCCAACGACCTGATGCTCATGTGGGCTTACCTATTCCCGTCACTCTGTTTGATTCCTGACCCATTAGTGATGTCTACCTCTTTGCTTTAGCTCTAACCTGTCTCTAAAGCATCAGATCCATTATTTCTGAGTGTCTAATGGGGCCTCCTCTATGGGCAACGAGTCTAAAATGAAACTTAATTTTCTCCTCCCTACTCACAGCTATACCTTCTGACATGAAACTCCTAAAATATTTACAGCTAGTTTGTACTGGTTCAGTAACCATCTGAGTAAGAACTATCTGTGTTGCAGGAGATACAAAAAAGAACGAGCCACAGTCCCGTCGGGGAGGTGAGGGGGGGAGAAGGGACGTGTGAGGACCGAAGTATAATCTAACAAGTGCTAGGAGGGCACAGAGGAGGGAATGCCCCATTCCACCTGCAGTCAGGTGGACATCACAGAGGAGGGCCACAGGAGTATTAATAACATCTTGAGCATTCTCCCTAGCTCCTCCACTAGTAAGGGTCCTCAGGGCAAAATCCTTTTCTTATACACTTGATTATTTCCTAGCATGGCACTTGGCACGTAGCAACCAGCAAACACTCAATGGTGCTTGAGCCAAGGCATCACTGACCCAGGCGGCCAGGTAGCAGGCCCCAGTTGAATGGAGCGCATCCATCAGGCCCCAGGCAGTGTGTTCCATCCACACGCTGAGCTGCTCCGTGCGCCTTTGTGTGTGGGCGTTTCAGTGTAGTAGAGTGTCTCCTTTTTTTAATCCTCAGGAAGACTTCCCCCATCGAACTGACTGTTGAGATTAATTCTATCAAGATTTATCAGATTATTCAGTGTGGACAGTGCTGCTACGTCTGCCTCATCATCAGCACCAAAAACACACAGCACTCAGCATTTGCCCGATTCTACTCTCAATAATTAATACGCTGGTCACGCATTTAACCCTCACGACAAGCCTACGTGGTGGGTGTTGCCACAGTCTCCATTTTACAGACAAGGAAAAGGGGGCGTGAGAGCCTAGGTGACTTGCTCAAGGGCCCAGAGCTAGTTAACTGCTGGCGAGGCCCCCAAACCTACGCTCTTGGCCATTCCACTCATGCTTCCGATCGGCGGCGGCCGTCCTATCACAGCTGTCCTTTGCACTCTAGGCTGTGTAAGTACTAAGTCAGGGCATCTGCAAAAACAAGAACAGAGTGATCACCAAACCACCAAAAGGAGACGGAGCTGCCATTTATTTAGCTTTGCTCCCTGCCATCCAAGACCAAGCTGATCTCTAAACAAGCATCAAAGCCCGAAGCTCATTAACATCAGCGTGTGCTTCGATAAGGTGAACACCACAACCATGTACAATTACATGCTAATAATTCAATGCCCAAGAGCCCTGTAAAACAATTGCAAAGGCCCAGGATGATCACAGTATGCAAATGCACTAGGAAAATCATTACCTACTTAGGCCCCTTCATTTTGGTGGGTTTAACATGAGAAGAATAATCCATGCTACAAGACGAGATTTCATTTTACAGCTGTAGTAACCAAGTACATAAAAGCTTGAATCTGTCCCAATAGCTTCTAAAAGATTTTTCCCATAGTGTCAAAGGCAAAAATAATGAAATCTTGCAAATGTACAGTTAATAGGACCCTGGTGGACACTAACTTCAAAAATGCATGGTGTATAAGACATTAAAGGCTTGATTTTAGTTTCTGCACTGTTGCTGTTAATAACAATGTCTAATTAAAACATCTGTAAAATACTGATAGTTTTAATTTTACATAAAATTTCCCAAACAACTGTTACACAGTATAATAGGTATCTGCAATGAATAGGTTATTAATGGAAGTATTATTTTAAATTAAAATCAGGTTCTAAATTTAAATTAGTCATCTCTGGCTAATGAAGAGAAAAAGAAGTCACCCATGCTGGGAATAATACAGTAGATAATCTAGTTTTCAACATCCGTTAAGGCAAATTCACTTGATCACCTGGGCTAAAGGACAATTTATTTTGCTGCTTCTGACTTGTACTCCACTTGGCACTTCGACGGATTTCACAGTTGAACTCAGTATTAAAACTATAGCCGAAATGCACTTCTCACCACATTATTTTATAATTTAAAAAACGCCATTCAATTTTATTCACAATCGGAACCCTCGCCCCTCCCAACGGACCAGTGAGAAGGCAGCGGAGCACACGATTCCCCGCAGGAGGTTCTCCCTCCCAGCCCTGCTGAACCTGATGACTATTTTAAAAGGAATGGCATAGAATCTCAGCTTTCCCTTTCTCTGGGTCTCATCTTTTACAAAATAAAACAAAAGGGATAAGCAAGGTGTAGTGGCGGGCTGCAATTTGATACCTTTCTCTCTAACTAATGCACAACAGAGGAGTGCTGGTCCATGTCTAGCTATGCTGGCGTGGAGACGGGGAGCGAGTCACTCCGGACAACGAAAAGCTGCATCTCCAGTTGCTTCTGAGTCACATCAGGGATCACAGGAGATGCTGCAGAATGTGGTCCACGGCATGAGGGAAGCTCTCGCAAGTTAAATAAGGAGGCGGATTAAGTTTTTCTTCATCTGCTGCTCGGTATTTCCCTGAAATGAAAGTAGAGCCAGTGAAAAGGCTACTGCTAGAACACCACATTCATCACGTCCTGTGAGCACCGGGGCCACCACGGCACCACCGTGGCGAGTCCTGGAGAGTCGGTGGCTCCCCGTCTCCCAAAGCATCTCCCAGTGAAGCTTTAGGCTGCAGTGAGGCAATTCAAAGCAATATCACAGCCAGCATTTTCCCAGGACTCTGGTCCTTCACAACGGATACAGGGCCCAGGGCACCTGGCTGCCAAGGCTTCCTTCACATCTCCATGGCTGGGGAAATCATTTTCTTCCCCACCAGCCCTAAAGATAGGAATGGAGACTGAATCAATGCTTTTCAGTGGAAGCCAGGCACCA